GATTAATTTCTGAAAGTAAAGTTTATTTCAGATTCAGCCACTTGAAACAAAGAATGTGGAAGTACGTACCAGTCTGGTACTATAGAATTTCTTTTGGACTTGGCAAAACAAGTTCGTTTGAAAGGATTCAGTGAATGGTGCACAAATTTATTGTAGCGGCTTTAAGGTACACATCCAACAAAGTTGAGACGGACTGCAAATTTTATTTTACTATATCACTCCAATTAACAGTTTCTCGTTAAAAAATTGTACGTACATTCTTTTAGAAATTTTAAGTATTTATAAGCTGTTACGAGAGGGTGAATAAAGTGTAGTTGAACAGCGCCCTCTGTTGTTGATATTACCAAAAATGACGATTATAAACCAACATCATTCAATATACCAGGCACGAAATAATATAGAGGGGTACCCCCAACGAGTCCAATCCGCATACACACTCCGGCCTATAGTCACTTAACACATCCCCCTTGGTGTCTGAAAAGAAATCCGGAGACACCAGCGTAACAATGACCAACACAAATGCGGGGGGCAGTAGGGGCTCTCTCTGTCCCATAGATTGTTTCATATGTCATTCAAACTTCACCTTCAACATGCTTTATTTCACACCATGCAGTCACCGCGCACACACCACTTGAAATGTTGGACACCTGCAACTACATGTATTTAATCAGTTTGACGTGCAAGCTACCCACGGACGTATATTAAAAATCCTGGAGTTGCAACGCCTTTGTATGAAACAGAAGCCAACCAGCGGCCATTTTACCGAGCCGAATACAAATGCGCGGGTTGGCTCGCTTCTATTGACGCCAGGGAGAACAAAGGCGGGCATTGCCGGGCAAGCTTTGTATTCGGCTCGGTAAAATGGCCGCTAGAGGATTCAATGATCTCAGTTAGCTGATTGAGGGCATTGCGAGTCCAGATTTTTTTTATATACGTCCGTGCCCACGGGCCACTTTCAGATAAAAAGTCACAGGGCTGAGGGCACTCACTATTGGATTCGAACCTTTGGTCAGCATTTTGTAACTATACTGAGGGGTTATAGAATGTGAAACTTCAGTCTTTCGGGCGTAGGCCTACCTGGGTTTGGAGTGCTCAGTAAGTCTGGTGATGGTGATAGTGTAGGCTCTGTAGTGGGAGCAAGGCCGGCTGTAGTCACCTGGGGAGCTAAAACAAAAATAAAATGGGCCTGTTGATTGTTTCAGATTTTTTAAAACAATGTGAAACAAACAGTAGGCCTATTTGGTAATACGTGTATTTAAATCTCGGCTCTTTTTCCATGTGGATGCTATTAAGCTGTTTAATCTTCTCTACTGACTTATAAGGTTAAATAAAACAACAACATTGATTTTAAGAACGATAAAAATGCACAGTGGGTTTGAACCTGTGACCTGTAGGACACCGTACATCACCCTACCAACTGAACCAACCAGCCGTGGTAGTTCCTCCTCATTGTCAATACACTGCGTACATGTATCTACATTCTGATGCAAGTCTGAAGACAAGATCCGTTTACCATGTAGCTGTAGCTTATCCCAAACGTTGCGATATACAAAACACTCGCAGTGTTGCACACCGAGAAACTGCATAAAACAGTTCGCATGCAAGCCTCAGACACGACAGAGGAGAGCACAGGAATATAGGATGCATGCATCGTGATTGGTGGAGTCAAATTACGTAGGTTAATTAAGCCAGTTCAGTCACGGGGATGGGTTCCGATCTCCTAGGCAACTGGGAGGTTTCAGAAAGTAATCTGTTGGGTATACCTGGGTTGGGAGTGCTGTCTGTATCAAGGGATGGCGATGTCTCGGGCTTTGGAATGGAAGTGGAACTATCTGTAGTCATTTGAAAACCTGAAAGTTAAATCAATATGGCCTGTTGATATTTTCATTTTCTTTAAGGGTGTGTTATATTTTAATCTCTGTTCTAGATTGTTTTCCCTGTAGATGTTCATGAGCTCATAATTATTTACTATTGATTTGCAAAACCAGAAAAAAATCAATCAACTGTATTAAACTGTCAGTATTCGGTCACAAGGGTGAAGTAAGCTATTGACAAACTGTTCGGTAGAGCAAGTATATATATCGCGGCTCCAAACTAAAACAGAACAATAAAATAAACAAACAAATACACAGGAATACAACAAATAGGACAAATTAAAGAAAAACAACGTCCCAAAATGCTTTGAGGGAACCAGCACATCATAGCAATTATCAAAGTCACAGATATTTCAAGAAAATATATCTCATTTCAAAAGTGTTTCTTCTCACCTGACTTTCCATTGTCAACGGTACTGACAAGACCCGTAATACCTGCACCATACAGGAAAAAAATGTAGACAGTTAAAAGTTCAGTTTGTATCCTTATGTTTGAAGGTCTTCATTTACAAGGAGCCTGGAAACCTACTTCTCACTCGTCTGCCTATAAACCTACCAGTTGTGACTGCTCGGCCACCCTCTTCCCCTTTCTCTCCTTTCTGTCCAGGCTGTCCTTCGGGACCAAATTGTCCTGTCAAATAAAAATGTGTCTCTTTGAAAGCCCAGCAATCTAATGGTCTTATTAGCATGGTCCTCGAATGCGTATATTTTGTTTAAATTGTGTCATGCAATGTAATTATTAATGAAGGTTTATCCTGCCTTTAAAATGTTACTATTCACTGGCGAGAGCTCTCCTTCCCTTGATTCTTATATTTATTGATTTATTACCTTATAAGCAGCCTCTGCCACTGCTTCTTCAACTGAATTCAATACGGTAAAAAATGTCGAAACAAAACCTCACAAGAGGAAAAGCTAATTCAGACTAGTTCTGACTGATCAAACAGGACAGCCTGCCCCCGACATCTTGGCCATTTTTTCAGGATTTAGGAACGGTGCTAACATGCACCTCTTTGAAAGAGCATTCTGTTAGGAGTGAAACAATCTTGGACTTCATGCAATTCAATTCAATGCAGTTTTTGAAATTCAATTTGGAATAAATCAGGGGAAACCGATCATGCATGGCAATGTGGACTAATCAGCAGTTATGGGCTATGGGCATTCGGTGTGATGTATTTTGTGCAGTACCGCTCATGTAGCTTCAAAAATTCTTCAGTTGTCTCTATCAAGCGCGAAGCAAGTACATTGTACGATGCATTGCGTGCGTTTCCCCTTTACAGGATAATGTCAGCTTGGCCTAACCATAGCTCATAAAAGGATTATTAAAATTCTTGAATTATTCATACATGTGTCCAAGTTCCAACGGAAAGTTTAAATTTGGGCCTACTTAATACCTACCTTTGTCTCCTTTGTCCCCTTTTTGTCCTGGAGATCCATGCGTTCCATTGATTCCGTGTAACCCAGGTGCCCCTGTGGGACCCAGTAACCCGTCTGTCCCTCTGTCACCTTTGTCACCCTTCGCTCCGTCCGTGCCTGGTAGCCCATCGATGCCAGGTTGTCCACGTAGTCCAGGGTACCCAGTAGGCCCAGGGGGTCCCACAGGGCCGAGGGCTCCCTTCTCCCCAGAACGGCCCTTGATACCCTGGGTGCCTTTGGTACCAGGTTGGCCAGTGGGGCCTTGGGGGCCCATATCCCCGGGCCTTCCAGTGTCGCCTTTATTCCCTTTTGGGCCTTTTCCCCCTTGTTTGCCCTTGGGACCCATGATCAGCTTTAGACTTTCATTGTCTAACTCCCTTAAATTATCCAGAATAGCGTCAACTGGGGAAAAATCAAAACGTGTACAAATCCATCGTATTAATGTTAATGGAACTTCAAGTTGAGATTGAGTTCTTTCTCGCATAGGCTCGCTTGAACTTTTCCAGTTCATCAGCGCTTTCGCTTTTTTGTAAATGAAGGTATAGTTCATCTTTGTTAGGCTCACCTGTCTGAGACAACTATTTTTCTGTTTCTCAATCGCCACCTTTAATTGCCTTGATGCTGTCATATAATGAATACTGAGAACTTCATGCAGGATGGGGGCATACATCCATGTACTACGTCTCTGGCTATAATTTAACTATGACGTTCTTCGGGATCTGTATCAACCACCAATGGAAGTGAGTCCAAAAGAACTTACAATTGCATGCATCTCCCATCGCTCCCCTCGCTCCAGGCGGTCCAATGGGTCCAGTATCACCTTCTTCTCCTGGGTTACCCTTCTCACCTATAGAAAAGAAGACCATAGACACTGGCGAGTCTCAGACTGATATTCCGTAATTCTGCTCACCTGAAACTATAGATGGGTTGACTTTTGCAGTAACAGTCTAAGTGTGTCTATTTAGATTTTGCTTCAAAGTTAGGTTGGCAGACATTGAGCTTTGAAGCAAGAATTCCTCATCCTATATAAAAGAACACTGACAGTCAACAGGGTTTGGAAATACATTGAAAGATAATGGTGGAATATAGTAAATGAAAAATACCCTTTCGTCCAGGAGTTCCTCCAGGCCCCATGATTCCCTCTTGGCCCGGATCACCCTTGCTACCTCTGGTCCCCATAATGCCTTTGGAACCTCGAGGGCCCTGCAGGCCTCTTTCTCCCAAGTCGCCTTTTTGACCTTTCAGCCCTGGCATTCCAATCAGGCCCGGTTGTCCTTGTGGGCCGGATAGCCCTTCTGGGCCCAGGCAACCCTTATCTCCCTTCTGTCCTTGCTTCCCAAGTCGGCCTGGCTCTCCTTGAGGTCCAGTTCCACCGGGATCGCCCTTGAGTCCTTGGGGTCCTGAAGGACCCTGAGGCCCCACAGACCCAGATGGGCCAGCCAAACCCTGGAGACCCATGGCTCCTGACCTCCCCACTTCACCTTTTTCTCCTGGTTCACCACGCTGACCATCCAACCCTGGTGGTCCTGTAACTCCAGGTGGTCCCATATCACCTTTGGGCCCAACACCTCCCAGTTCACCCTTTTCTCCCGTTTCACCATGCCGACCATCAGACCCCGGTGGTCCTCTAACTCCAAGTGGTCCAGGATCACCTTTGGGCCCAACACCTCCAAGTTCACCCTTTTGTCCTGGTTCACCGCGCTGACCTTTGAGTCCTGGTCTTCCCGGTAAACCAGATGGTCCTTGATTGCCAGAGGGTCCAGTGTTACCACTTTCACCTTTGGTTCCAATGTCACCTTGGTTACCCTTTGGTCCTGACTGCCCCTCGTTTCCTATGCGTTACCAACAAACAGTAAAAGAATGGAAAAAAAGAAGTTGAAACTTTTGCTAGTTTAGCTGTCATCAGAATTAGCAAAAGATAGCAAAGTGTGAATTGAATTCATGTGTGTCGCCAGACCAGTTTAAATGGGGGATGGTTGCCATCGCGAAATTTTCCGACGTGCCATTTGCAAATTCATGAGTGTAACGGTAGTCAGACAGTCGCGTGACCCCTTCCTTTTCCTGACTTTCTCCGTTCTTGCCAAGGGCACTCTGATTTTTCCGACAGAACTGACTAATGGGTGTTGATGATACCCCCGTTCCTTCTAGTGACACCTGCGATTAAATCATTAATGTTCAAGGTTTTGCATGGGGACAAATGTTAAGTAAACCTCGAATAATACCCACCTTGGGTTCCTCTGGCTCCTTTTTGTCCTGGGGGTCCTCGAGCTCCATCGGGTCCGGGTAAACCTGGTGCCCCTGAAGGACCCAGTAACCCATCTGACCCTCTGTCGCCCTTATCCCCTTTTGCCCCGTCCTCACCGGGTAACCCATCAATGCCAGATTGACCACGGAGCCCAGGGTGCCCAGTGGCCCCCTTGGGTCCCACAAGGCCGAGGGCTCCCTTCTCCCCAGGCTCGCCGGGGCGTCCAAAGGATCCTGGCAGGCCCTTGATACCTGGAGTGCCTTTCGTGCCGGGAGGGCCTAGTGGGCCCGGTGGGCCCACGTCCCCGGACTCTCCTGAATCACCTTTATCCCCCTTAGCCCCAGGTGGCCCAACTAACACCTTGGGTCCGTCTCCCTTTGTGTGAATAGTGACTGGGGAAGTATCAAAACATGTTCGTCAAATAATTATCTCTAAATACTTTTTCAGTGTGATATGAACAAATAAATTGTGGTATTCTTTCCCATAGCTCTGTACAACTACTAACCTATATTATTGCCATTATTAGAGCAATTATTTCTACTGAGGCTGGCACACAGTTTACAAATGTTGAGTGATTTGAATGGGGTAAAACTAGTCTCCCGATTTGATCCATGGAGAATTCTATTTCCTCTGGGCGACATTAATTTTGTTTAACTACATATCAACATTAAGTCTAATTGAATGCGAAATTTGTTTAAATTTATCAGCACTTCTCAAAACTACTTTTGACAAAGTGTTTGAACCTTGCTCAATTGAACCTATTTTTAGTTCCTTTGGCAATTGGCCGTGCACGATAAGGTAACTAATAATAGCGAATGTCGTGTGACAGACTCTCGGTCAGTCTAGATGCAGAATATGTTGATGAGGTGTTATACTATTTTTGTTCAGTGTGTAATAAATTGCCTTTGAATTGCTTACTCTTTCACATAGTTGCTTGTGTTCATATTCGTTACTCAGTTTTCGTGTTTTGAAGAAAGGAATGATTGTAATGCAAATTTACACTTGGATGCTTGTTGACAATGTTCGTCTGCGATTTTGTTGGCGAGTCAGTGATTCACAGCGTGGGAAGGAAACACAAAAACTGGGGCGCTAATAAGGGGGTAAACATCCTATTCAATGGCATATTTCTTACAAAATGCTGGAATAAATTGGATGAATCACTGAACCTAACAGCCTCGTCGATAACAACCAGGATTTCGGTGACTGTTGTGTTTATTAACTTTGGTAACTGAAACCTGTCAGAGTTTGATGCTTCAGTATCAACTACCGCCACGTTACCCCTGGATTTCACGCATTCGAAGACGTGGACAAAAAAGGAGGGCGTGCTTTCTCCGACGTACTGACATGAGAGTGATTTCACGGTCCTGTACCTAAAGACGTCAACAACTCGCAATGCTCTTGTACCACCCAATCTGACTACCCACCGCTACTTATACGTGGGGCTTGCACACCAAATACGCCATGCTAATTCGTATCATAAGACCGTAACATGGCCTACGTTCTTCACGCTTGTAATCAAGACCAGTTTAGCTTACGCGCCGCAGCTGTGGCTCTCTGTTGTGTGGCAAGTGGGGGCGCTTTTCATCCTATGTTTACAAGTGTGCCGAACGTAGTACATGCTACGATCCTATGATATATACCAACCTGCTTTGTAGTATGGCGTATTTGGTATGCAAACGCTTGTACCGACTGAAACCACCGGCGTGGCCATCTCATCTTACCCGATGCAACGATCGATCGTTTTCGTCACAAGCAATTTGGAGAGAGGGTACGTGGCTGCAATGCAAACATTTTAATACAAACCTCCACATCGCAACTTTACATCTCAGCCTCATTTTCAATTTCATTTTTACTAATTTGAAGGTTATTTTTCGGCATTTTTTTTTGCGCTGATGGGTATTTCCATATTCATTTACCAGGATGACAAGAGGCACATGGGTTTTTTTGTATTTTTATTATTGTTTGCTTTTTCACCATTAAACTAGATGTAAAAGAGCTAGTCCCCTTCACTAGCCGTTGGCCCCTTGCGGGTTGCCGTTACATTATCAATGATTTTAGGTTTCGGAACCATAGAGTCTTACCACTCTGTATAAAGAAAAACAACAGGTGGAAAGGACTTCTATTTCAACTTTTTGGGTGCTTTACTATCAATTCTTTGGGGTAGAACGAACATTCATATTAACTACTATGTCGACAAAGCTCGGCAGTGGTTATATTTTCTTTCCCACTTAACAAGTTCAGTTTATGAAGTCTTACCGTGTCCCATCTCTCCCTTCACTCCAGGCTGCCCAATGGGTCCGGGATCACCCTCTTCTCCTGGGTTCCCCCTCTCACCTTGAGAACAAGAATACCCATTAAGAAAATGTGAGAACACATGATGTACAAGGTAATGTTTAATTCTGTCCACCTACAATCTCAGTTTTTATTCAAAGCTATACTGAAATAAATAGGCTATGAAACAAGAACTCATAAGAGAAAGTTGTCAAGGATAGAGAGTAAATATTTAAAAATTTGAATATCTAAATATTAAAGTTTATCAAGTTTGGTATACCTTTTGGTCCAGCAGACCCTTCTAGACCTCTTGGCCCCTCTTGTCCTCTTTCACCTTTGTCACCTCTAGCGCCCTCTGGTCCAGTGTTCCCTCTGAGACCCTTGGGCCCCCGCAGTCCTTTATTACCTATAGTACCTCTTTCACCTTTGTCACCTCTAGCGCCCTCTGGTCCAGTGTTCCCTCTGAGACCCTTGGGCCCCCGCAGTCCTTGATTACCTATAGTACCTCTTTCACCTTTGTCACCTCTAGCGCCCTCTGGTCCAGTGTTCCCTATGAGACCCTTGGGCCCCCGCAGTCCTTTATTACCTATGGTACCTCTTTCACCTTTGTCACCTCTAGCGCCCTCTGGTCCAGTGTTCCCTTTGAGACCCTTGGGCCCCCGCAGTCCTTGATTACCTATGGTACCTTTTTCACCTTTTGCCCCCGATATACCGTTCGAGCCATGCTGTCCTTGTGGACCCGTGTTACCCTTCGGCCCTTGGGGTCCAACAATTCCTGATTCACCCTTTTGACCTGGCTCACCATGCAGACCTGGTGGTCCCGTAACTCCAGATGGCCCGCGACCCCCCTTCAGTCCTTGCGGTCCAACGTCTCCCATTACACCCGGTGGGCCAGACTCACCACGCTGACCTTTAGTTCCTGGTGGTCCTGTTACTCCAGATGGGCCTGGATTCCCCCTGGACCCTTGACGTCCAATGCCACCTATTTCACCTTTTTGCCCCGGCTCACCACGCTGACCATCGGCTCCCGGTTGACCTTTTACCCCAGTTGGCCCCAGATCACCCTTGGACCCTTGAGGTCCAACTGCTCCCACTTCACCCCTCGGGCCTGGTGCACCATTGGGACCTGGCAGTCCTCTCTCCCCATTGCAACCTTTAACCCCTTGGGTGCCTGCAGGTCCTGGGTCTCCAGCCTCGCCCTTTTGTCCCGGTTCACTAGGCGGACCCATAGGTCCAGTGTCCCCTCGGTCACCTCTCGCCCCTGGGGGCCCCTGTGGTCCCGATTCGCCCCTTTGGCCAGACAGTCCAGGGGATCCTCTGTCACCGGTTTCACCTTTGGCTCCATTATCACCGCTGTCACCCTTTTGTCCTGGTGGCCCAGTCCTCCCTGCACATTATCAATGTGCGTTAAATTTGAAGAGATGCAAATAAAGACTAAAGAAAAGGCCTATACAATAGGCCCAATTGCCATAAATCAAAATCAGGTTACATACACAAATTAAACACTAGAATGTGGCGGTTTATTCAAAACGAGTAAGTGTTTTGGGGAAAATACACATCTTTGTACATGTGCAGGCCCCTGTGAGATTGCTAAGAAAAAGTTTAAAGAAATCTTGTTCTAGTAGTGCGTCTGATGCTGTTTGAGACAGAAATATTTAACACCGCAGACAGGCACATAATTGTAATTAATTCAATTTATAAAGCACGCAGCCTTTCACTTTGCAAAACGAGTTTCACCTGGCATGAGTTTGAATCTGAAAAAGCATTTGCGTCTTCCAAATATCCCTTTAATCTTCCTACATGTTTTTATAGCCAGAGTTCCTTCAATGGAATCAAATATTGCTTGAACGCTGTGTACGTGGATATGAAACCAAGAAGTTAGAATGTACAAAAAATAGTCGTGTTGGAAAGTAGGGCGTATATCGAGCAATAATTATAAAAGGGGCCACAACTTCAAGCTAATTCAAACACCATTAGCAAATTAGACCTCATTTCCAACATTCCAAACTGTCTGAGGAGTGGCATTATTTGCTAAGCCCTACGACTTTTGTTAGCCATTTATCCGTTGGACTCGAATCAAGTCACAAAAAGTGTTAACTCGAGTAGCATAGTCAATGACTTAGGACAGCCACACACTCTGCATTACACTGGGACAAGTGTACTCACCGTCCTCCCCGCGTCTTCCCGGGTAACCCATCGGGCCCTCTTCACCCTGCTTACCTGGTGAACCTTTTGGTCCTTGACTGCCTGGTTTGCCTGCTGGACCCTGGGGTCCTAAGGGGCAAAATCAGCAAAGATTGTATCTTTATAACATTTCTCCCCGCTACTCTTGCCTAAACATGGATTGTTATACATGTATAGCACAATAACTGTGGTAGCATGCAAAATAGGCCTTTTTGCCTTTTAAAGAATTGTTCTCACAACTCTAAGTTGGACAGGGCTCTCACACCGTGTGCTCGTGTCCTCCGTCGAACCTGTCCATCAGAAGGGGATGACTGCTTTAATGTCTGCTACCTATAACAGGCAACATATGGGACGGAGGGGTACCCCCCTTACATGTCAAATCCCTACACACACTCTAGACTATTGTTATGTAACACACCCCCTAGAAGTCTGTAAAGAATTCCTGAGATTCCGATCAAACAATGACCAACACAAAGGTGGTGGTGGTGGTGGTGGTGGGGGGGGTTCTCTCCGTCCCATATCTTGCTTCAAATGCTGCTACCTCCCAATGCACATTGAGGCGCAGCGGTTCGCCCATGCGCTCGGACAGGGCGCTGGGCCTGGGAAGGGCTGATGGCCTTACACAGATTTTAGTGACGGAAATACGTCACGAGGGGGGGGGCATAGCTGACGTCGACGCGCGGAGCATTGTGGGTAAATTTTTGCGAGGCGCGCGAGCTCTCTCAATTTGGCTGTTATCAATTCGACATTTTTTCTTTTCTGCCTGATTGCTGAAAATAGTCTCACTACACTTTTAGTTCATCCAGAAGTTAGATTGATAACCAATCATTTGAAACATATTGTTGAAAGACACGTGATAGGTGATGCTTAATAAGAAGATAAATTACCGTGATTATACCAAGGCCATGTTTTTATCATGTAAGCCGACACATGGTCTGTGTCAAAGCATTGCCATTGGCTAACCAAAACTTAAAATAACGTTTCGCTGACAGGAAGTGAGGTCATGCATAAAGTAGCCATTCACGGTGCAAAAACCATCAGCGCTTCCCGGCGCCCTGTTTGGGCGCTGGGCGACGAGCGAAGCGCAGCGGGTCTGTGAAAGTAAGTCATCATCCAAAACAGTTTTTCCGTAGCTCCGCTGAGTGATTTAATTAATGTAAAGAAACACTTTAGGGCCCTCCTGGGCACCAAAGCTTGTCTAAGGGGACCCCAGCGTGAGATCCTATGCTTTAAAGAAAAATGTGTAGGGAAAACATAAGCGAGCATACTTCTCAGAGTATTTCGAGTGCCGAGTCCGTTTTCAATATGTGGGTGGAAATAGAGTCAGAATACCACTAGTCTGGCATTTTTGGTGGATGCCAAAAGGTAGACGTGGGGCCTGTCTGAGAGTGCAAAGTGCCACAGCCTAGTCACCTCGCGACTTGGGATCCACTTAAGTGGGAATAACAGTCCGGTTGACAGGACTTCAACCATTACATTCTCGTCGCTCAGGATGTGGTTTGCTAGCAGGCCCATCTCCTTTTTCATCTTGCCCACTGTTTAACACACATGCCACTTTAATCATAGAGCAAGGATGCTTTAATATAGGCGTGGCTTGAAGGACAGGGTGCATTCCTGGTGCTTTTAAGTATGACACCGAAGTTGCGTTGTCGTATCATTACCGCTCTGCCTAATGCTTAAAAGTTGCGGATGGCGTTGAGTTAAACTTGAGGATCCAGGGTATTGATGTGAGGTCACTGAGACTCCAAAGTTCTTTATGACTACTGTCCGGAGTCCTGGGATGTGTTGAATAGTTTGTCAGCCTGGGGACAAAAGGGGTCCAGTCCTTGGGACTCTCATAGGCCGAACAGAGTCTTTAGTGTTGGGAATGCTAATAGGAAGTCATGCACAATACACATTGTCTTCTTTCCTTCGTACCGACTGTTGTTGGCTAGGCTTTTGCTCGCCGAGATGAAGTCACAGTTGGGAAGAGGCTCGTGACCTGGTCAGAAGTTGTACGGCAGGCATTTTTCGAGGTACTAAATCAAAAGGCTACCGCCATTAGTTCGCCAGAGACCTGTGACTCTTCTTTATATTGTACTGTTTGAACCTAATTTGGGCTTTTTCTATGTCTTTCCTTGACCTTGGCTTAGTCTGAAATATTTGCCCCTCCAAGCAAGCACGATGGCCATGCAACCAGTCCTCATGCTGAATAAGTTTTGACGTTCCAACAATAAAAACACTTTTACAAACCTCAAATGCTATTCCAGGCCTTTTTCTTAAGCCTTCTGCTTCCTTACCCACAACACTGTGTAACGGTACATTTATGGTTAACAAAACTTGGTGTTTTAATGCTTAACAATGGAGGTAGAAAACATTTTTCCTCCCATGAACCCAAAAAAAATACCTTCCGACTGCACTACACTAAATACACGCCAATATTGAAAACAGTATATGCAAAATATAGGACAGAAAGAGTGCTCTCAGGTGACTTCCAGGAAGGAATGGCCTCACGTTTTTCACTGGACTTCAGTTTTCTTTTCAATTTTATAAGGGTAAGCCGAAAAATTCCCCGAATTCCCCCCAAACAAGTAGCGCATCCAACTCCGACTGTATAGCCGCCCGCCGCTGTGCAAAATAGGCCCACAGCTGTGCACAGGTTTGGAGGTTTTGTGAACGAATACTCCGAGTTGTAAGCCGCAAGTCCCGAATTCGTGACTTGTAGCAATATCTCTATGATCTGTCCCATCTAATTATGGCACCTCTCCTTGTAAATAACCCCCGGGATGACAAAATATTGATAAGCTCGCTCGCAGAAATCTACCAATTTAGTGGAATGCACTCATAATACTTTCCCAACTTTTAAGAACAACAGATGGCGCTGTTACAGGTTTTACAAAATTTAGTATTATTTTGGAAAGTAAAGAGCAGGTTCTTTCGAATTCTGAACTTGGAAGTCCGGTTTAGTTTTAGAGTATCACTTTGCCTTCTTTTTTCGACCAACAGTGTCGGGAAATTTAGGGACTTGCTAAAAGGATCAAAACCATTCTTGAAAGTTGAAAATAAGACGGCACACGCTGTTCATAATGTCTCCATGCCTTCTTTGGTTTGACTTTTCATTCGGTCTACGCTACGCAGAGGCGGTTGAAGAGGGAACTGATCCGAAAAGAGGGGTTTTCCTACCTCTGATGGGGGGCTGTATAGGGAAGGACACTTGAGGAACTGACATACCATCAGAGTTTCCTGTGGTCAAGAGCTGAAGTACCCTTACTTTGTCTTGTTGGACAAAATGGAGCTGAGTATGAATGCGACTGTCCACCGTGATCCAATGAGTCTTCCTTACATATAAATAAGTGAGGAATTGTCTTTTGTGCGATGGGGGGGGGGAGCGGGTTAGCCTCGCTTTCGTTTCGTTTCCTCGCTTTGCACCAATGAGGCTTGGGTTCGAGTCCCGGCTTGGCCCAGGCTTAAGTGCATTTGGTTTCCAGTCCATACTCGCTCTCGCAGGTTTTCTCTGGGTACTCCGGTTTTTTCCTGCCTCTAAAACTAGACCTTCTTACGAACTCGGTAATGTGATGCCGATTAATAAAGTGTATGAATAGCCTAAACGTACAGTTATTGGCGCAAATAGCCTGAGTTGCTGAAAGCGCCATTAAAACAAAACAACAACAACTTTTGTGCGATGTTTGTTTGTGCGATATTTATAGCTCTGTGATCATGCGTCTTGCTGAAGTGGAGTCTTCAGCACATAGCTTTGAGCACGCCTAAATACACTACCGTGTCCGGAGCTTGTGGGGTAACTCAGGCTGAAGAAGATTTATTTCAAGCAGTGCGGACGAACAGATTTTCACATTTGGTAAGCACTCAGGATGTGCACCCCTAAAATAGTAATAAAGCCCTTGCTTGCATTCTGGTTGCTGCAGAAACGATGGAGTGCAAAAGAAAAAAAAGCTGTGCCACCGTGCACATCCATTCACATTTATCTTATTTACATTTTACATGCCATTTCACCGTGATGTATGCGCACAGAACGCTCTCCCACAGAGGCAACCCAGGGCATTTTTTTCAGGCTTAAATAATGGTTTTTATCACCGACATTTTTATTTTGAGGAAAAATAATCACTTATACTTCGGCTTCTATCGAAACTTTAAAAAAATTCATCCCTCTCCGAAATATCATCCCAGTATCCCGCCCATAAGCAGTCCCAACCCTAATCAGCCCTATCCCTAGCAGCCCTGATCAATCCTAGGTGCGCGCTAACTTCACATCGGTGATCCAGATATGGTTCCTGAACTGTGTGGATGACTATTCACAGTGTTGCCTTGTCATTCGACGAAATTAAGTAAAGATTCGCACTTTCAGTGAAAACTTAAAATTACAAGAGTTTCAGACAACTTGACGATAGATTTAACACACATAGTGCTACGGTTTATGGTTTAGCGTTGGTATTTGTAGATATTATATTATGTTATGTTCTGACAAAGAAACACTTTGGCACATCAATGAAGTCCTAAAATCAAAATTTAAAAAAATGGATAAATGGAAAACTTAAGAAATCTCAAGAGACTGTTTCTCTCTTACCTGGTGGGCACTTGGTTATTGTTTCATTACAGAAGGCTCTTATTGTATCCATCTGCAATAAAAAACACAGCAAAGAAACCCTGTTTTCTCTTTTGTATGCATTCAGATTTGTAAAACAACAACACTGTATTCTATGCACTAAAAGTGTATTTTATGATGTAGGAACACCTGACTTGTAATTATGAAGAGGAACAAAGGGATTTGAACCTGCGACCGCCAGAGCACCATAGGTCCACCGGCGCTCCCCCAACCAAGCCATCCAGCCCTTTGTTGGCGTTTCTTCCCGTTCGTCAATCTTTTAGGTCGAGGACACTAATTAGAAGCCATACACACCCGTAGTACCGTAGCCAGGGATAACACAAGAAGACAGAATGCAAGCAGCTCATCGGCGGCTTATCCAGCTTTGGTGTCGGGGAGGGGGCAAATTCAGAAGCGAATGCGGCTTCGGGCTCGTTTAACATGATGTTGTGGGGAGCAAAATATCAAAAGCCAGCTCACCCACTGTCCCGACATCCTGGCTTTTATTTCCTTGTGTTGTTTTCTTAGGATTTTTGTGTTAATATTTGATATTAAAATGAATATACTGATTACTTTCTTTTCTACTCACCTATAAGGTGTCATTTCTAAAGAAAAAAATTCGGGAGGGGGGTTCCCCCCGCTACTGGATACGCCACTGAAGCAGCTCTAGTTACATGTGAGTTGCAAACATGGGAAGTGGGGAACGGGAATTGATTCGAGGCACAACTCTTGACAGGGAAGTTAACGAATAAACAATTAACAGTAGAGGGGGTCAGTTTTTAGGGCTTTTTAAAGTAAATTGGTGATTTCATCGCTTTTTCATTTCCCTTTTCCCCCTCATTTTTTGGCTTTTTTATTTTTATTTTTCAATGGCTACAAAGAATGGCTACATGCATTGTTTGGCATGCACAGGGTTTATCCACAACGAACACAGGGCCAGGGATCCCCTCGTTTTTTCTGTTTCTCAGTATAACGCAATCTACATTTAGAATTTGCATCTTGGCATGAACAGAAAAAAAGCCCTTTAAGCTTGTTTTAGTTGAACTCTGAATATTTATTTGAACAGATAAAATCAGAGAAAACGCGGCTTGGTCTTGCTTTCATAGGATAACTTTTCCCTTGAACGGCTGTTCCAGATTTCCAAGGTGTACTAAACAATGTGTGCTAACTCGTCATGCAACGAATGCGTATAACATCTGTTACATTGTACAAAAAAAATGTGCGTCTTCTTCCGTAATTTCGGTTCCTAATTTCTTTCCCCCCCCCTTTAAGAATTTGAACGGTATTTAGGTGGCAATGTGAATTTTGAATTTTCTTCTAGATTTTGTAGTTGTTACGATGCCCCTTAATACAGTTCACCTACACTCTTAAAACAACCTGATTTTCCTAGTTGTTCAAAATTGACTACGGATTCAGTCAAACACCTACGCTGACGTTGGCAAATCAAGCTTTCTGACAAGATTCCTATTCGATGCCTTTTGAGACATCAATGAACTGACTGAAAAAATCAAATCAGATTGACTAATTTGCAGTTGCACCCAGCTGACCCTGAAGAGCCACTCAAATTTTACTGAATTCTAGTCAGATTTGACTGATCCTTTTTAGAGTGTATCACTGTTGTGAAATAAAGTCGTAAATTTATTTTTGTGTGCGGTTGCATAGTGATGCACGTGACTTCACGTCTTTTAAAAAGGCCTTTTCGTCAGTGATTTTGCTATTGAATAGTCCTGAAGTGTGCCACAAAGTTCCGGCTCTATTGGAAACGTTGACCGTTAACCCCCGCATCAAACTCAGTTTCGCGGGGGGTGTAATAAACCGTGTTCACTTACCGAAATGGTAATAGGTAGTCTTGCGCAGGCCTCAATGGACGAGACCAAGATAGTGCTGGTACCCTCGTTCTGAAAGGTGAATCTTCGCACCCTGTTCTGCCCCCGTTGGTCACCTGCCTCTGGTTCGACCGGTGCCGTCAGCTCCAACTCGGCCCGTACTTGGCTTTTGTTGTGATGATGACGATGATGTTGATGCTCCACCACCGGGGCTCCATCCCGCTCAGGATGCGCAGGGCCCCGCGCCGAGTGACTCTTGGAGCCCTTCCGCGGCCGCACAGTGATGTTAAACAGCGTCTCACCGTCCGGACATGAGCATTTCTGGCCCAACTCGGTTCTCAGCTGCGTCATAAAGACGTAGGTGACCGCAAAACAGGTTACTGAGAAAGCAGTTAATAGTATCAATCCAAAGTAGAGGATTTTGAAATGGAGCGTGTGGGTACACGCATCGCTTTTGTCCGTTGTCATGTTCAGTAACGAGTAAAGTTCTCTAATGATTGCGTGCCACTACACAGTACTTGCTGTATGTCCAATGAATGTGTAACAAATGCTCAACGCACTTTTGTGCGTGAGGGTTGATGACCTCACTCAAACTTCCAACCAATCCGGTTCGATCGTAAGTGTGACGCCACTTCAGTTTAAACCACGCCCACTGCACATGTATAAAGAGTTACATGGAACCATAGAACCGGTGGTTAATGCGCAACTTGAGTGTTCATCCAATGGGAGTTTGTAATTCGGGATACGCGCGTGTATGACGTGGTTACTAACGAACCTGATAGTTAACTGCAGCAGTTAATAGTAGTTAACAGGCAGCAGGTGCAGGGCATCTACAAGCCTTCACTGGTAGTTTTGTTTCAAGGGTGATTTTTCTAAGCTGGCTTTTAACAAAACGATATCTCTTCTTTCAACTATATTACCTACATGACAAAAGCAGGATTATATCAAACGAAGACAGGAAAAACATTGGCGTTCCCCAGTGCACTAAGGATGCATTACTTGAAGCATGTAATTTTCGTGTCACGGTGTTTTTCATAAGCGGACATCATATTCAATAACTCCTTAAAAAAATTATAGCGTGCAGCCCTGTATGAAAGTCGAGATTTATTTCCTTTAAAACTTGTCTCCCGAAACGCAATGTTTAAAGTTAAAGAGGGGGAATTATAGGCGACAGTTATGAACTGGCTTACGTAAAGAATTTCCAGACAAACAGGAACTAAATGTACACGCACAGTGATCGTGAACCCTCCTCATGCACCTGACCTGGATACGGATCACACCATGTTCGATGTACTCTTCCTGGGGCAAAGCACAGAAAGAGCTGCATACACCACTTATTGTAGGACAAGATATGTCATGATTTATCACATTGGAGGCAGCCAGGGAAGACTTTACTTCAGGAATTTCGGACGATTATAACTGTCACTTCTTAACACCAGGAAGTTGGGAATAAAATAAGCGAGATACAGATAAGGCTTACAAACTTTCGAAATCATCGCAAACATCACAGTGTTTCGCATCATTCAAAACAAAACAGGATCTGACTTTCATACTTTCAATTCCTCTTGATATTAAAACAGTCACTTAAAGAAGAACGCAGACTGAAAGTGAAAGGTCACGGATCACTCGGCCAGCTTCCAGAACCCTCGCACGGCCCGGGGATTTTACATGGGGCCCCCCGATCACGTTCTATAATTTTGGAATTTGATTTCTGAAACCACTCACACACACAAAAAAAACTCATGTCGGAATTTTATCTTTATGTTCTTCAAGTAATATTGTGGAAAAGTTACCTGGAGATGGGTAAACATTTCAAGAATTTCATTCGCAATCTTTCACTTCCGGTATTTCTTGTGACCTGATGCTCTTCTTGTCAGCAAAGCTTTGATTAAGCCTTTTCATGAATGCAGATTATTCTTTTAAGTTCACTTTTTAAAATTCTAAACCGCTGAATTTAGGATGGCTCCTGTTATAATTTCAGTTCACATAAAGACTACACTACCTTTATTTTGTCTTAACTTTTTATCTACGTACAATTACACAGAGTTGCACTGATCGTGATGTGTTTTAGATTTTGGGTGGCGGGAGATCACATTTGTGCAAGTTATTTCTCGGGCACTTTGTTCAGTTTTCACTTAATATTCAAGTAAAGATTTCACTTTGAAAAAAAAAGGTGTTCGACTCTGTTTATAGAGAGAGAATGTAGAAAGTTACAGCGGGTAATGAAATTCTGTCTAAGATAATTAGAGCAGTTTGCAGCAGTTTGTAAGCAGTTTTGTATTACATAAGATAATTAGACTTCAAGTCTTGAAGGTGGTGTATGATAGCAGCGAATGTGCTGTAGATTAAGATGAGAGGTCAGGGTACTCTCAAGTAACAACTGGAGTAAAACAAGATTAATGTCTGAACTCTGAACTAATTTTCTTGATGGTGGCAGACTGTTGGATTGTGAAAAATACAACGGAGGTAGCAGAACAGAAACCCGATGGAAGGTTATGCCAAAGTTAGGAGACCTCGACGAAGCTGATGACAGTGCAATTGTGTCATTAAGACTAGGCCTACATTGTATATAATATAAAATGCAAACTAGAGTCACGAAACTGAATGCTTTTTCTGCAAGGGCTGGATTAAAAATTAACGCCAGGCCTTGAGATTGAAGTATTGAGAATCAACAGTAAATCAAATGACAGAACAGTGTCAGGCGGTCAGCAGCTAATGAGGTTCATAAGTATACATACCCAAGTGCAAATGTTTCTAACAAAAGCGGAGGAGAAGACATGGGTGGTAGGATATGCAAAGTAAGAGTTGTGTTTTTGAAAATCAAGCAAATATGGAATTCAAGTAAATTCACATTGCATGTCAAATTAAGACTATACAAATCACTAGTGCTGTCTGTTCTAATTGCACTGAACATGGAAAATAAATGAGGGAGACGGGAAGAAGTTGGACACATTCCTGTTAAAATACCTAAGAAGGATATGCAAAATTAGATGGCCTCCTGCTATTTTTAATCACGACATACTGAAGTTATACAGGAGGAAACAAAAGCAAGGGGTGGAAATGGCCCAAAAAGAGAGTCGGCTGGCCAAAGACAACAGGACGACGCACCGGAGGCCTTGGAGCGAAGCCAAATGTGGCAAAAGACACTCTTGACAGAGAGCCTTAAACTGTATAGGCAGTGGCATAGCGAAGGATTTTCTTTTGGGGGTGTGCCAGAGTATTTTGCCGACTTGTTCGCCAACTTCATGTCGTGTAACATTCGCAAAGTGATCCGTGGTACGCTACATTTTATGCTTCAGGGGAAATGCTAAGGGCCGACGTATGTCGTTTACTAATTTTGGATTCATTTGCCGACTGAAGCTCTATTTGCCGACTGGAATTAATTATTGGGGGGAGGGTGTCGCACCCCCCCACACACACCTCAGTCGCTATAGGCCGAAAAGGACTAGTGAGATGCGGTAGTGAAATATTTTACAAAGGTCCCTTAAAAAAAACAACTAAGGAGGTGATCTTTAATTCTCGGCGGGGGTACCGAGGCCCGTGAATTAATCCCCATTAATATTAATAACTGCATCGCAGAAGGGTCAAACAATAAATTATAAGTATCTTGGAACAATGGTGACGAGGAATTAAACTGGAATAGCAACAGCGAACTGTGTAGTAAATCTAATCAACACGTGTATTTCATGCAGAAATCGAAGCAGTTGATGTTGACCGGACTATTCTGCGTTTATTTTATGAGTCTGTAATTCAGAGTATCACAGCAGAATAAGACAAAGATTGAACGGGTAAAGAAAACCGCTCAGCGAATTATAGGTTTAGATTTGCAACGCCTGGACGTACGGTTTAAAACCCAAACGGCTGCTAAGTGTAATAATGAAATAATCCGAGCCATCCACTTCTGTTTTTTAACGGTACCAGACTCCAAAAACCAAACGCTCAATCTCTTGTTCCCAACTCATTTACCTGTTTAAACCCTCAACCACGCGGTAAACAAAATTGTATTTATGCAATGGAGGGGGGTATCGTTTGGTTTAGGGTTCTGACTTCGTCTCAATCTATAATATAATAGAGTTATTAATGGTAATTAATTAACTTTATCCTATTAAAAATCTATGGTTAAAATGCCATATGTTTTATGATCTTGTTTTTATGTCCGATTTTAGTGAGTGAACTGCTGAATGGAACACACTATCCGTATTTTTGTAATGTAAACACAATAAATACGAGTTTGAACTTTCAGATGTAATTTTGTTTAAGATGTAAATAAATGAAGAATAATTGCAAATTCTACCTTTTTCACGTTAGTTATTTTCTCTGTTTCAAGGGTTCAGTATGCGCCTTATTAGAGGCATTACTTCAAGGCTCTGTACCGACAGAAAAGCAGAAAAATCACACATTCACCCAAGTAGTCTTCACAAGTTAACGAGATAAAGAATTCCCAGTCGATCAGCCTTACTACGAAACGAAGTGTGAGTATTTTTGGCCCGAGCTCAAAACAAATCGGGGCGGATAGAAAAGCAGGATATGGACAGGGGGAAATGGGACACCATAACAACTGAAATACTGCGTATTGTAGTAAGAGAGAATTTGCCACACTCCTTACAGCGTACTGTAGTAAGTATCAAGCATCTAGCGTTTGACAAATTGCACTGTAACGGATTGATACATGTACATGTATGTTGAAACCAAGTGTTGTGTGGTTGCCTGTACCTAGTTTGGCAGGAAAATAACAATACCTCAATGCAGCGGCGTAAGTTTGTACCAGAAATTGGGAGGATGGGGGACGGGGAATTGTGAGGGGATGACTTGCCTGGCAATGGAAATTGGTAAAGCTGCCTTGGGGGTGTGGAATTAAGTCAAACTACTTTTTTGACTTCCTTTTTCGCACTTTGAAATCTGCCTCAGTCCATGCTTGCTTTGTAGAATTCTCAATGTTCTCACAAAATATCGAAGGTAAACTCACCATCGAAATAAAAACGGGGAAACATGAAGGCTACAAAATGAAAACTGAGGGCGGGGAGCAATCTTATGAAACCAGAACATGAAGGCGATACCAGTTTTGCATTTGAGCGCATAGCGATATAGGCTAACATATTCCTGAAAAAAAAAACCATGGTAGAATGCGATTCGCTGTGGATTTTTCCATTGCCTTGAGATTCCCTGACAATCTGCTTTGAGTTAAAAACACTTCTTTCCTCGGTGGGAAAGAGCTATGTTGGTCTCCAGTTTCTTGGTAGTGACCATTTTATGTGACCTCCGTGGTAGTGACCGCAAGCGATTTTTTTTAAACACGATAAGAAAACTCCACTTGAATAAGGGGGTGTAATTGTGGCACTGGGAAATTGTTTCTTTCAAAGGGAAGTAAAGTCCGACATTTCATCAGAGGAAGTGTCCACCAGGAGTGAAAACTAGTCTCCTCTCAAGACTGGCAATAAAACCATTTTTTTTCATAGGAAAGTACTCGATAAGTATCACCAGAAAGAATCGATATGTAACAATCCTAAAAAAAATACACGCTGACCGCGACACTTGCATTTCATAGGGTTTTACGAAACGGGGCTAGAGGACAGGGTGGGGCTAAGTTTTTCTTTATTTTGAAATAACAGGCTTGGGCGACTTTGACGAAGTCCGAGGCTTCCAACCCTGCAGATACTCTTACACAGTCAGCTCTGATATCAGGCCGCAGCCAAGGCCGTTTTCCAATACTCAACTTCGTCTCTGTCTCAGCCGTCGTTCCCAAAACCAATCCCCGATTGTGGGCCTGAATTAAGCGTTTAAATTACATTGAATTACTGTAATTTTGGGCTCTCGTACATCTTTTTGATGTTCTGTGGCACTATTAGACTAACTACTGAGCTTACAGCTTTAAAGTCAGCTAGTACAAAAAAATAAAAAAACAGTCGAAGCCTGAGACGGAGCCGAAGTTGAGTATTGGAAAACGACCATATTATTCATGACTGGATTTGTAGCGCCCTCTGTTGGGCTCGGGAGCAAAAATAAGAAGCAATGTTTCTTTAGCTTGATTTTTCCCTGGTAAATAAAATTGTTCTCCTTTGGAAACGTGTTTCCCTTCTGAGCAAAATGGGTCGATGTTTTCATGATGTAACAAAAAAAAGTGAGAATGGCATTTATTTTCTATGTTCTCTACGTTTTTCGAAAAATTGCAGAAACCGTAAGTAGGACAGGAGGCGGTTGGTTGCCATTTACACTTTTCAAAAGATCTTACAAATGAAGACGATACCCAGATCACCAATCATCTTTTCTGTTTTCATTTCAGTTTGTACGTTCTAGGCGTTTCTCACACCATAGCACTGACTGAACATACACAAAAATCATATTCCTTGGTTTAACTGTCAAAATGCCTTTTTTTTCTGTCAGAGCAGTTTCCTGCAGTGTCCACACGGGAAATGTATATAGACGTGGTTATTTTGGAACATTTTCCCTCCAATTTCAAACCCTTTTCTAGCTTACCTTGCTTGAAGCACAGAAAGAGCAGAGAATTGAAAAAAGTGCTTTTGGCCATGAGAAAACCCTTTTTTTCCCTGTGCTCTGACGATCACAAAAGGGTAAAATGTATTACCTTTCCTTTTGTTTGCCTGCCAAATAAAATCCTGGGCTTTTTTTTCTGACCCGTCACGATAACGTGATTGACGCTTTTGACTGACATATCCACCAAAATAAAAAAAAAGCTATTTGATTTTTCTTCCTCTGGACTGCAAAATTTTACTGAAGCAATCTCTTATTCCTGATGTCCGGTCTGTGTACACACTACTCAGTATTTGTTCGATAGGTGGAAAAACCGGTATGATGAGATTAAGGACTAAGTGAATTTGCTGTACTTTTGTCTCGTTAGGGGGCCTGTGTTCAATCGAGGCTTGGTCGAGGGAAAAATGCCCGAGGCTTTTCCTAGTTTTCTGAGATGCGGGACCTAGGAAAGTAGAAAAGTACTTTGGAACTGTACAAAGTCCGAGAAATGATTACAATTTTGACGGACATGTACAAGTACTTCACTGTACCTTTACAGCGTTAGTTTTGAGAGGCCAAATCTCTTTTATATGCATTTTTCAGTTGTTCTCCAGTGTCGTAAGTATTGGTTAATTTTGAATGTGGGGTAATTTGACTGGTCACATGACCACTGTGGAAAGCTTTGAGTGGTTGCACTTGGAAAACTACTGCGCGGAAAAAAAATTGGCTTTCAGTAAGCTCAGCCCAATTACTTTGAAATGCAGTTCCTATGCGTGGAACTCGAAGAGGGTGGGGCTTTCTTCCTATCGGCCTAAAAAGTCTGATGACATCAGTGCACTAGTAGTATTACAAATAGACATGTTGCATGTGAGTTCTAGTGCAGCATTTTAAACTGAAAAGCGTGACAAGAGACTAATTTTATGCTTTGATTCCAAACACCCTGCAAGTGTCGTAAATTTGTGCCGGAAATTGGGGGATAGAAATGCAGAATTGTGTGTTTGTCACGGGGGGGGGTTGACTTCCCCGGTCATGGAAATTTGAAGAGCGGGAAGGGGGTGCTTACAGCACATGACACTGTTTAGGGGGCGATGTTCAGGATACATATTTACATCTGTAATATGTATTAAATTCATGCAGAATCTTACACCAGAATGGCATATTTATGGCTGTTTCGTTGTTCTTCCTTTCTGAGTGATTTCGGTTGTTAGGAAGTCCGAAATACTTTTCACAGTCAGCTTTAACCTTTTTTTTCTCGCGATGAAAAAGTGTGTGTGGGTATACAACCCCATCCCCAGGACTTACTCCCATGCACCCTGTGTTTCATATTCTATGCATGTAATTGTGTGGAGAGCATAATATAATTGTTTGGAAATGCAGAACCTACAGAGACCACCTGAAGTATTGCCGATTATCAGCTATCAAAAGGTTTTCAACTAAACCATCTGTACATTCTTTAGTGTCGGTATTTTAATTACAACTACAAATCGTCGTAATCAATAATGTCTATCTTTACCTTTTTCTATTCGAAGGTTCACAGATTGCTCTTTATTAAGCTATTGGGCCCGATATTGAACCAACCGATCTTACATTTGTTTTATGTCTGGAAATGTGTAGAGTTTAACATCTTTCTGAAAATAAAATGCATACAAATTTTGCCTTCTGCCAAACAAGCTTGTGAAGATGTGTACGCTTTAGTTTTTTCAGATGGTTTTCTGTGAGTGTGCTTAAAACAAACCTTTTTTTTTAATTAAAGAGACCTTACAGGAATTTAAAGCAGGCTTATTTCCCTTTTGATTTCGGCAAATGTAGAATCAGGTTGCTAATATTTTTCCTTTAACAACCACTTACCACCAGCAAAAAATCAGAAACACTATTTCAAACGCGACTTGCGGATCCCCACAGAAGCCATGCGTTCTGCTGCTTATCCGACTCCATCACAAAATGGACCAGTTCAATTGGGCATTGTTCTGGCCGTTTGGATAATCACACCTCATTGGGCTAATAGCCTTTTTATTTCCACCTGGGACAACGTTCACCGATTGGACTCAATTCTAAGCTGCGATCCACATAAAAGCACGGGTCAGAAGGTGCACGCTGGAAGACCATTGTCACGGGCACGCAAGGCGCCGAAAATCCACAGTAAATCGCATTCTGTCGAAGGCCCCATGTTGTGTACGCGGAAACTGTTCTGGTAATTTTTGGAATAGTTTCACACACTCAACCGATTTTCAGGTGACAGTCTCTTTTATTTAAGTTCGCTTCCACTTTTCACAAGCGGTCAAGTTTCTGATTCAATGCGATCACAAGCCAAATTCGGTTTACTTTTCGGAATTGCACTTTGCCTCTTTCTTTTGACGGTATCCTTTCTCTGACGTTCTGGAAATGAGTATCTGGGACCCCATTTGGTGTGGAGAGAGCACGTTTGAGTATGCAGCTTCTAAATGTCGAATCAAAGTTCACTGTGTTTTTCTGTTTAAATTGAATGGATGAAGCCTCCTAGAGTTTCTCATCTGAATAAGAATGCAAATCTACACAAAAACATAAAACTATTGGCCCTTTGCGCCTATTCCGCTGTACAGGTAGATGAAACAAGATAAAGAATGTTAAATCTGAGGGCAAGGTAGGCACATAGGACCCTGAGCTGTGAAATTTCATCAGAAAAATTGAAAACTACAATGGAAAGTAGGAGTAAATTTTGCTCTGTTCCAATTTCCGCCACGGTCTGGTTGTCTATCTTGGACCCCCAAAATTCTCATTTTTATTTATGCAATTTCGAAAGTAAACCCTGGTCTCGTCAGGAGCCAGCTAGGAGTATTAAGGAAAATGGAGAGCACAACTGTCAGTAAAACACTTGATTGACGAAACGCACCTGCCGTCTGCAGGGAGGTAATTAATTAGTCATACAACTCCCATTGGTTGAAAGTTTACGTGAGGTCATCCTAGGAAACGCGCACGTCGTGTGTTCAGCACTGTGGAACATTTCGATGACTATAAAGTGGCACACGGAAGCCGATTAGTGTGCACAGTACTGAAGATGGCGGGGGACAAAGCCGGCGATGGTGTCCACACTCGTCACGTCAAAATCCTGTATTTTGGCTTAGCACTGCTGTCGATCTTCACGTTAGCCTGTTTTGTGGTCACCTACGTCTTCGTGACGCAGCTGAGAACCGAGCTTGGCCAGAAATGTTCGTGTCCGGACGGCGAGATGCTGTTTGACATCACCGTTCTGCCGTCGAGCGGCTCCACGGGTGACTCGGCACGGGGCCCCGGGCACAATGACCGCGGTGGTATCCAGGCGGCGGAGCACCAACATCGCCGCCGTCATCATCACGAAAGCCAAGTACGAGCCGAGTTGGAGCTGAGCGCACCAGGCGAGCGGGGCACCGATGACCTGCGGGGGCTGAACAGGGTGCGTAGAGGAGTCACTCAAGGGGACGAGGATCCTAATTCATTTAGGGCCACGTCCATCGAGGCTTATGCCAGACTACCTATTACCATTTCGGTGAGTGAAAAGGTTTACTTTCTCGCTGAAAAGTTTCGGTTACGTGAGCGTTTTCGTATTAAAGCTGGATGTGATGATAACAAGTTACATGTGGGAAATGAGTACATGTACATGAATGTCATTTCCAATTACCTGCTGAAATTTCCTACAAGATGTGATTTTTTTGTTGGGGGGTTAACTATTGTGGAGGGTTGTACTTGAATTTGTCTTGTAATTTGTTAAAATCAAGCTCTTCTATCCTATAATAACAGGCACTACTGATAAGTGTTTATCATTTTAGCCAAGTGTTTCATTTTATTGGTTCAAAAACAAACTTACCGAGATAAGGTGAGAAAAACCTTGGTCATTGCCCTACAAAAGGAAACATGAACCCCTCTTCAACAAAAGAGGGGTGAAAGTTTTGGAACCCAACCCCTAAAGATCAAAGGTGCACTCAGAGTCAACATCTGGAAACAATTCACAGGTGAAAATTGATACACTGGAGGTGGGGGAACTTTCTCAGTGTTCCCGACAGTATTATTGCTACAATTATCCCCCAGGTGTGGCCATAAAAATATTCAGTGTCAACAATACACCATCAGAACGGAAGCCTGGTTCTATGTGGGCCCAACACCCAGGGGGGGGGGAGCTCCCACCACACCAGGACCATTGAAATAGTGCTTGTTTTCACTGGATTTCTTCTGCGTGGTTTGGTCCTGGAGTCCTATTTTGCTTGACCTGCCCCCAAAGGGTCCTGGTCTTTTCAAACAGGCCTGAAGTCATTTGAGATCACGAATAAAAGAAGTTCAGAAGCTGATGTCTGCTATACTTTATTTTATAAAACGGCCCAGCCCTCATTTTCACCTCCCCCCGGCTTTCCTTTTCAGTGGAGAAATTACCAATGACAAGAATGAATTGCAATTCTAAATTCCCCGTAAGAAATTGATTTGAGACCCTGATTTTTTTCCAACAAGGCCCAGTGGGAGTCAACTTGGTGAGTGCATATTTGGCCCTAATTAAAGGCGTCATGTTCATATTTATTCGGCACAAACATGTATCTTTGCATTTTTGCTGGGAAGTACATTTTGTGTGCGAGGTTCTTTCAATTCACTTTCCCATCAACTTCTAGCACTATTTTTTATGAGCTCCCATCTTCAGTTTTGCCCTCTCTTGTGCATTATTCTCAGTAATTGCACGTAACCCTTGTCTCACAGGAGTAAAATGTAAATCCCTTAATAATTTGGCAAGATGTAATAAGAACGTTTGTGCAACTAATGTTTAGGGTGCAACCAGCATACCCACATTATATTATGCTAGCTCTCTCTCTGATAGTTACACATGCAGTCTATGACGAATCTTTGAAACCCGATTTGTTTTGGAGGCATCAGCTTATACACCAGCAGTAATTTGTAAACAACTTGACATTGAGACACATCACTTATCGCCAGTGGACCATCTTTGCTACTGATCCCAGTCAGAGGAGCATTTCCTCCTCGTCTGGGATAGATAAAATCTGAACATGTACACACAGGAGATACACATGAGGACCATACACTCTGGTACCTTGGGATCTCTGGCCCTATATTGTAAACACCACCCAGGCTCAGTCTGTTTTCATTGACAATTGCTGTTTACTTTACTCTGATCCCGATAACTCGGCATGATTTGTCAAAATATCAGCAAGTTTCCAATGAACAAAGGCATAGAGTGTGCTTGCAGCATGATGGATGGAATGTTTTGAACATTTACCCCAGATTAAGGGTACTTTACCATATTTTTCATTTAAAATGTTAATTATGGACTTGAACATTTTTTAATTTAATGATTTCATGCTGTTTGCCCCTACCCAGAGATTTAGGATATTTTGACCATCGACGTACAATAAAACATAAAGAATTTTCTCATTTTCTGAACATGGTAATGTAATGTCAAGACTGAACAGCTTAACAATCAATCAATCAACAATAGTCTGCAGTTTCTAAGATCAAGGAAACATGATATTTGCCAACGATTTTAAAAGAAAACAAAAAAGTTCATGTCGGGCAGCTATCACAATCTCTTGGGATCCCCTAAAAATGTTAATAAGCACAGTGTGTCTTAAGTCCATGGTGTGACAACTGCATGTGCTACATGAAAGTACATGTACATGGAATTACCAGTACATGCCTCAATACACTGGTATCAAAGGAGACCTCTGAAAACCCCAACCAAACAGTAGTATTTGAACAGACACATCGCCGTGTTTACATACCTTGCCCAGGGGTCCTTCCACAAGTAGCATTTGGGGTATTCTGAACTTCTTTTTCTTTTCACAAAAGGCAGCATCCAAGAGAGAAAATGTAAACAATTTTTTTCCACCTTCTCCAGTGAATGGAATGGTAGAGACTAGTTTTTCACGCAGGATCCTTGACCCATTGTCTGCTCACCTCTTGCTGTCAGAGTATGGCTGTGTGGCAAAATGGCATCAGATGTTGAGCCTTAAGGGGTGAAACCCTCATAAATTTGTCAATATTTTAAGGGCTGCACTTCCAATTGTCTTCAGAAATGAGTTTAGGCTGTTGTAAAGTGTGTGGGTTGTATGCTTCCCCCTTCTTTATTGGAAGTTGTTCCAGGAAGAGCTAGTTCTTCTGAGTGGCACTAGGGATTAGGGCTTGCAGAAACCCCCTTTCAAGGTTTCATTATATCACTGCTAAACTACTAGGTTTTTTGCTTTCTTCTTACTGTTTTGTGTCCGCACTATTTGTATCCATAATCCAGTCCCTCAGCTTTTTTCATGTCTAGTGTTGGATAATATGAAATACTTTGTATTGGAATTTATTTTGTCTCACATGTTGGAAAGTTTTTGTTCTTATCAAGAATGTGTTCCGATCAGGAATGTAAAAAAATCAAAGTAATATTTCTAGCTACGTGTATTTGCTTTGGGTGACTTTAAAATCACATTAACCGGTTTATTTCTTCCTAAATAGATCTTATTATTTAAAGCTTTCTTACTTTTAAGTGGATGTCACAGGAATACCGTAGTTTACTTAATAAACAAATGCTGACAGAGAAGGAATAAAATATTTGCCATACTTTTTTTTCACAGATTGACTCGATCACAGCATTTTGTAACAAGACTATAAGCAAATGTCCACCAGGTGAGGGAAACCGTTTCTTGGATTTTTTTGTTGTCATTTTAATGTCAATCATGTTTCGGGTTTCATCATTAATTTTTTGTTACACTGTATGTTTGTGGAATTTTCTCGCTGCATGTGAATGTTGTACTTGTGTGCTTCATGATGTCAAGATATAATTGGAAAATGTTAACACTAGATCCAAAAAAATGCCCATAATTCAAGTGACATGGAAAATTTGTCTTTTGCACAAAGCAATGCTTTGTGATAGTGTAGAAGGTTTGAGCCCTTGTCTCTGTCATTTTGTCATATTTAATGCATCCTGACATTTATCGAAATTAGTTGTTTATCTGCATTCTGTCAAATAAAATTAAAAAACAGAAAAGGATGGAAGTGTTGACATGATTTGGGCCATATTTTTTGGTTCTTCTGAAACGATAATTGTACAAACCCATTCTCAGTGTACATGCAGTATGCTAAATATAAAGCAATCCTGGAGCCATGGCCAGTAGGTAGAATATGTGGATGTGTTTACCATAGCATGTGCTGGATTGTTGGCATTCACAATTGCCTGGAAGCTGTACGGCTTCCAGTTGGCCCGTAGACTGCTGATAATCTTTGGACCTGCTGTTAGGTGACTTTATCAAGAGAACTCACCACAAATCAGACACATCAACAAAAGATTCATCTCAAGTGGAATTCCGGTGACAAAAATGGAAGAAAAAAGGAGTCATTGTGCTGATGTTTGCAACACAAAGTTGACCTCTTAAACAAAAACAATACAAAGTTCATCTTATCTGTTTGTTATGGGATACAAAAAGATGACAAAAAGCTCTTATTAAAGATCTATAGTCTGAAATCTGACATAAAACCCCGAACCTTTCCTTGTAATTTCAAAGCAAAATAGAGTACCGAAGTGAATATGTCACGCGCACAACTAGTGTGTAAAAGGCATTAGTGCGAGAACCAGCGCGTGAACCAACATGCGTGTGTACTCCATTCGTTTGCACTGCACTTTCTGGTTCACAGTGACGTCACAAATCGGTACTCTATTTAATATTGGTGTCATTTTTCTGGGGTGAGTTAGCAGCATAAAAACTTATTAGCATTAAAAATGATGCTGATGGATGGTATCAATATAGAGGAAGGAAAACAAGGCTTTACCGAATTTATGGAATCAGAACTTTACGGGTCATAACTTCTTTGCACTCAGTTTTTCCAACTTCACACAATTGGGACCTGGCCCTCGAAATTTGTGCCCTCCCCCTGCTAAAATTTTGCACATTCACCCCTTCATTTGGTTTCGGTGCTTGAACTACGTTGGATGGGCGATACTTCTGTAGATATCTTGTCACAGTTGGCGCATGGGCGCTGTGAAAGGGTAAGAAGATCGAGGGCACTTTGTACAGTTGTCCCTGTATGGAAAACAAATTGGAAATAATTGAAAAAAAGAGGAAAACAGGAGGCCTGTTTTCTTGAAAATACCTCAGGTTGCTGCTGTTGGTGGTCTCATCACAGTCTGTTGCTGCTGAATACTTTGACCTCCTCCCCAATACAGTGTACTGAAATCATATTCAGTACTTACAATCTGGGTAGTAATATACGCTGCTCTCTTTTTGGAGTTAATGTAATCACATACATGCAATCCAACTTAGACTTGGCAGTGTTTGTTTTCCTCATGAGCCTGCATCCAGACTTTCTAGGTCAGGCAAGCTATAAATATGTGGCTGAATGACAGTGGCCCACAGGCCTAATGCGTACAGTCAGGGATCGCGCCTGAATAGATTTACAAGTTCACGAGATGGTAAACTTAAAGTGCTAACGGGTAATGTGCTTAACCAGATGTGAGTACTTGTGTATGGTGTGAACGTGTCTTGTTCACTGGCAAAGTCTACATATTTTGAGCATGTGGTCATAGGTCACGTTAACTTAATAATTTTTACACTCAATGAAAAGTTTCTAGTTACTTTAACGTTAAGTATTGTTTAGAAGAGGAGTTGCTGGAGCATATGAAATTCAGTCGACTTCCCCCTCTTTGGTAAAGAGACCAGAAAGAATAACTGAGAGAAGCCAGAATAGTAAAAAATCCCAACACGAGGCCTTACTCAAAGAACGAGGAGTCTGGTCACTAGTCCAGGGTCTTCATTAATATGAAAGATCGTTCCTGCTTACTTCTCTACCCCTGTTTGGAAAAGTGTTGATGGAAAAAGATTGTATGATACCCTTCATCTTGATGGAAACAAGCAGTCAATGGTTCTGTCAGAAACCATCTCTGTAATGGCTCCTTCAACACTTAGAAATACTTTAACAACTGTCTGATCATAATTATGTCTTGAAAGGCCAGTCAGTATTATGAAGACCACGTCTTGCCAGTAACAAGCTATATGTATTTATTATTAGAAGCTGTCTGATCCAGAGATGATAACGGAATGTGTGTTAGAATTGTATTCCGCAGTCTAATCTTTAGGTAGATTACAGTTACTAGATGTGGCTTGAAGAAATCATTTTGAACTGACCTTGCTTTCTGTTGTCTCTTTGGTTTGTTTGTTCGTTTGTTTTGTTTGTTTCAAAATTGTGGGTTGTGCCTTTATCAGAGTAAGGATGTTAAGCGCTATACACTCTTACAGAACTTTTCAACTATTTTGGAAAACTTCATAACTTGTGTGACTCTGAGTAGGTCTTTAACCTGTGATCCAGAGCAGACATTAACAATTGACCACCGAGCTTGGGGGTGAAGGTTCTTTGACTTTGAGCTCAAATATTTTTTTCCATCAGCTTTCTTGGAAAAAGCAGAATACCCACTGTTGGAGGTAATAGCATCTGGTTAGATAAACAATGTTACACATTGTGGTAATTTGAATTGTTGAAGCTATTTGCCACCTTGATTGTTGGGCCGGGCTGGGAGGGGGGGAATTCTGGGTAACAGAAAGGGGGCACCTGACCTGCTAGGCACAAAAGCGGATTAAAGAAGGGGAAAGTAAATACCTGTTGGCAAGCTTCTATGGAGATTTTACTCCTGCGTGCATCTTTCAATTTGAAGTGCTGTGTCGAAAAATCAAGCTTTCAAAATCAGGGAAGAAAATTAAGAAACTTGAATTTTGATGTTTGTTTCATTCATTCATCAACAGATCAGCTGATAAGCAAAGCATTCTGTCATCCAGCCAGCTAAAGCCTGCAAATCTGCTAATTACTTGATCTGTACCAGTGTTGTCCGTCACAAGTCCTTTCACAACCCCTTCATAAGTCTTTTCACAAGTCCCATCTTTATATGTAGTAGGGTGAATGACAAAGGAATACTATCAAACTTCATTTGAATGGCTTGTGACTTGGCTTTTACACTTAACTTATGATGGGCTTGCATTGGACTTCCGAGGACTTGTGGTGGACATAAATACAAAAATGATCATTTGATAGTTTGGTTTAAGTTTAAAGAAAAGAAATGGCACATTTCCTCTTTATTGTGCTTAGCCTATTTCATTTTTGATTCTCTGAAAAAGTCCTACCCCAAAACCGATAAATGTGATTAAAAAAAAAATCAGATTACTTAACTAAAGGAAAGAGCTTCTTTACATGCTGTCGTAGCTGGTTTGTGCTTTTTTACAGCCTGTTTTAGGCATGGATGATAGCTTATAGTAGCAGGGTTCCCACGGCCTGGAAAAGTTATGAAAAAGTCATGGAAATTTGTTTTTGTTTTCCAGGCCTGGAAAAGTCATGGAATTTTGTAAAAATGACTAAAGTCATGTAAAAGTTATGGAATTTTGTAAAAATGACTAAAGTCATGGAAAAGTTATGGAATTTTTCAAACATTGTGTGTGATTTCTATTATCAGAAATAAGTGCATAAAATGCATGATCTACATGTATTCGCAACTTTAAAAGTCTGAATAGTCCAAATATTGGGTCTTGAATTTCCATAATTTGGTCATGGAAAAGTCATGGCAAGGTCATGGAATTTAATTGTCCTTAAGGTGCAGGAACCCTGTAGTAGCATATCCAAGGGGCAAAGAAACAAGTTGTCACTTCTTCCGGTCTGTTGCCAATTTTTTTTTTCATGAATTGCAAGTATCAGAGTTTCAGAAATAGTGCTGTACCTCCTTTCTGTGAATATGAAAATACTTTGGAAAAGCATTTCTAGAAAAAATATTCTGATGTTCGTCTGCAGGACACAAAACCTACGTATTTCATTGGAGTAGCTGGAAGATTTCAAGAAATATACGCACTATTGGTCCAGTCAAAACCCCTTGGTCTTTTTTCCCTCAGGACCCCAAGGTCCAGCTGGCAAACAGGGTAGCCCAGGACCACAAGGCCCTCCGGGTAAGCAGGGTGCAGAGGGCCCGATGGGTGAACCAGGAAGGCCCGGGGAAGAGGGTACGAACTGCAACTGCAGCTCAGACAGTGAGTACATTTTGTCCCAGTGTAACGATTCGGTCATCTGCTGTACTGAAACGTGGTAAAATGGGGTAAGGCAAGCATGTGTGAAGTCGGTGGCATAAATTCTTTCTCGCGAGTGTGTTGGGGGGGGTGGATGTGACAAAATCAAAATATTGCCTGACGGAAATTTCAAAGGGGTGCGAGAGGAGGATGATGGACACCATGTTACCGTACCAGAGGTGCTATTCATAAGAAAGAGGTACATCATTTGTTTACTTGGGTGCTTAACCCTGCTGAACAATGCTTTATATTACTTCAAGTGCGAAAATTGGTGTTTTCAAAGTTTTGGGGCTGTTCTCATTGTCAATGGCCCATCCCCCAGCCATGAAGTGTTGAGGGAGATATATACTTCCACCTGTTACATTTACACCCCTGCATTGATAATCCCCTTACTGTGTGCTGTTTAATGTACATGCACCATTGAAATATTTTAAGCCTGCTTGGTTGCAGGCCAGTTTTAACCATCTGCCTTTTACGTCTTTAAAGTTTTCTTCAAAGCTGATTGGGTGTTATAATCCATGAATGTGCATGTTTTTGGGAAAAAAAAGTGATATAATTCTTTAGAAAATACAAACTGTTCATGAAAAAGGAAAAGTTTCACAATGTTGGGAAATTTTAGTTCAACCTTTTCTAAGTTTTATTGTTTTATAATTCTAAAAACAGCAAAATACTCAGTTGACTAGGCACACACTAAAGGGGTTTAAATTTACCATTCCTGTTGCTGTTCCTTCAACACATGTGTTGCAACTGACAGTCCTAAATGAACTCTGACCTCACTTATTGAAAAACTCTCATGAAAGCCCATGTGAATGGATTCCAATTCCTATTAGGTCCTGATTCCCCAAAGAAATGATGTCCTAGCTTTCGTAGCTCTGGAATCTGATGCTACAATTGGGAACTGCCAGATTCCGTAATTTGAAAGGCTACAGTGCAGACGTGGTTGTTGACAGCAAATGTTAAGGGAAGTCAAGTCCCTTGTCTGTCCGTTTAACGAGCAGGTGCTTAACCCCCAGGGCTCTGCAGGGCATCAAGTGATTAGGAATAACTCTCTTTGGAATGGACGCTAATCCCACAGCAGTCTACCCTGGCTGACATTAGTTGTGTTTGTTACGATCATGATTTTCAATTACTTGGTTGATATCTGTCCTCTAGATATCTGATTTTGGCCTGCACTTCTGTTAGCTAGGTGTTCTCCACATTCAGAAGCCAAAGGCTACTGTAGAAAAAAGTGATTTTAGATCGAAAAATACCAAAGATTTCTTGAATAATCTGTCTGGCAAAGATTTAGTTATTTTTCTTTCTAGAGGGAGATTATTCCTTTGGGAATGAGGAACTTTAGAACTTGCAACAGTTTCCAAAGCATGCAGTTCTAGGCTGGAGGTCATAGACTCCAACGCAGGCTGTCTTACAAAATGAGTTGTCAAGTTAAAAGCTGTTCTCCGTTTGAAACTTGCATATACTCCAGGAAGTTTTTATATCAAGAGAACTTGAACCCAGCCTAAGCTTATTTGCACTATGTTGCTTTACAAAATCAAGTCAACTTGATTACTTGACCTTTACTTTGACTGTACATGTGACTGTATGCTGTGCTCTATCTTTGGTATCAAGTAGTATCGGCAATCATGCAAAATAATTAACGAAAACAAAAATGAAAACTTTGATTAGAGAAGCTGTGTTCCCTCTGACAGATTTCACCCTGTTGCTGGAGAAAACAACAGAGTTGGCACTGGGAACAGTAATTGGGCAGCCTGGACCCAAGGGTGAAGCTGGGGAGATCGGACCTTCTGGACCTCCGGGTCAAAGTGGTGAAGCAGGACCACAGGGGCCACCAGGGGCTAGAGGTGACCAGGGGGATGTTGGACCAATGGGTCCACCTGGTGAACTAGGACAGAAGGGTGACATAGGGGATGAGGGACCCCAAGGACCCAGAGGTGATCCGGGGCTAGCTGGACTTGATGGGATGCCTGGTGATCCAGGACAAAAGGGCGAAGTAGGGGAGCCAGGACCGGTAGGTCCCCAAGGACCAATTGGCCCACCTGGAGCCATTGGGTCCCAGGGCCCTGATGGAAGCCCAGGACAAAAGGGTGATTCTGGTGAGATTGGACCCCCTGGAGAGCAAGGTGTTCCAGGCAACCATGGCCGACATGGTAAGCACGGAATGAAGGGGGATAAAGGTGAGAAGGGTGAACTGGTTTTCCCAGGACCAATTCGGATGAAAGGTGACCAAGGTGACACTGGACCAGCGGGCATGCAAGGATTGAAAGGAGAGGCCGGCAAGGATGGCACAAACTGCTCTTGTGTTGACCCCGGTAATTTGATTTGTCAACATCATGTACCCCAGTATTTAGATCTTTATTGTTTTTTTATTGGCATGTTATTCATTGAATGAAAGGCAAGTCACTTGGTTTTAAATGCTGTGGATTGCAAGTGGAAAGTACTGTGCAATTCATTTAGGGCCTATCCTGACAGTCAGACACTATTTCAAAAGATTTTACGTGACGATAATTTTGTTATTGCTCGAGATTCAATCTTGGAAGTTACAACTGCATGAAATAGATAATTTTAGGGAATGCTTTCTTTGCAGATGCTGACATGATGGCAGAGTTACTTCTTCCAACTTCTGCCGCAGCAAAGCAGCAGCTTGCAGGTCCCCCTGGCCCACCTGGTCCCCAAGGCCCGAAAGGTGAAAAGGGTGAGGCAGGTCTCAGGGGCTATAAGGGTGACATGGGTCCCCAGGGTGACCTAGGTCCACAAGGACCTGAGGGCCCGAATGGCACAGCAGGCATGAAAGGTGCAAAGGGTGATGTGGGTGCAATTGGACCACCAGGGCCCAGGGGTCGTAGAGGTGACACTGGGCTGGAGGGCGCCAGAGGTCAGAAGGGTGAAAGAGGACAAGAGGGGCTTATAGGTCCTGATGGGGCTGCTGGACTTAAAGGTATATAGTATTTAATTATGCCAATAATAGGGTAATGGGACAATATTAAACTCAGTACTTGGGCCAAGAACGACACAGTAACAATGTCATGCCTCCTTCCGCTTTAAAATGTGATAGTCTAAATCCAGACCCATCATGCTTTTATTCCCATTCATAAGAACCTTTTGGGGCAAAAATATAATTAGTGGAATATCCATATTTTCCTGATGTGTGTGCACAAACAGAAATCTCCCTATGGAAATTGGTGTGCTGTGAGATTTGACAGAGTGAAAATTTGACTATGAAGTGCAGATACATTATTAGTGTTGTGCAACTTGCGAGGGAGTTAGAGTCCACAAAAGTTTGTGTTTCAGGCTTATTTATTTGTCATGAATGCAGAAAGAGTACTTTCTCAGTCATTTAAAAATAAAATGACAGCAAACAGACATATAAAAATATTATAGATTTAATTATCTATAATATGGGCGATTCACAACAGTGCGCCTCCAAGAGTTTGCAATGCATTGGCCATTCACTATGTGCAAAATCTGTCGACAGACTTTGCATGTTGTGATTGGCCAATGTGTTTCAAACTCTTCGAGACACACTATAGTGAATCTCCCATATTAGAGGTCACAAAGAAATAACAAATTAAGTAACTAAGACAACAGGAGTCAACATTTCATATATTAGATGTAAAAGTGTTTGAAACCAGTTGATATCTCTATCATCGGTTAAAAACCCCCATGTGACAGGCTTTCGACAAATATTAATGGATAACCTGAGATATTCATGAATGTCACATGAAATTGAAAATGGAGTTCAAATTTAAAACGTATCCTATTTCTCCCCGGTAGCTTTTACCACTGTGTTTCTAATTAAAAGATGAATTCTTGGTTCTTGGCTTATTCCCTCTTTTGGGATAGCCTTTGACAAACATCTATTTTCTGTTCACCCTCTCTTTAAGATTGCATACCAAGATTGCTGTATCAAAATATCGACCTAGCTATAGTTTACAGTAGATGGAAGTGAAGTGAAGTGTCTGTGGTATTCTTATTCACAAGGTGAGAAAGGTGACCAAGGAAATGTAGGTGATACTGGACCCATTGGACCACCCAGAGTGAGGGGAGAAATGGGAGATCTGTGTAATGGTGAGACCTTTTGAACTTGGCTTCATCACGTTGGAAGAGATCGATCCAAATCCTCAAAATGGGAGTTATTAAGTGATGGCAGAGAGATATTATGACACTTATGAGAAGACCCTAAACACTTGTGTCTACCAGTGGCATTCCTTTGGGGGGCATCTGGCCCCTTGGAAGCACTCCATTTGAATTTTTGAAATGCGCTCAACCTGTGTACAAGCCATTGTTCATTCTGCTTTCTGTGCCTCCTGAAAAAATGGCTGCACCCCTGGGTACTGCCCCACTCCCTGAAATGTTACCCTAGTTACACCACTGGTGCCTGTACTCATTGCCAAAAAAATGCAAGGTTGAGTTGACGTTGAGTCATTTGGTATTATGTTTGAACCTTTCTTGCACATAAATTCTCTTTGAGGCAACCTCAGGATGTTCTGTCAATTCCTATTCTACCATTTTAAATTGCAGTATAGTTGAAAAGCAGAAAGCTTCAACTGTAATCCCACAGTACAGATATGATTTTTACGTCAATTAAGCAATCACTTTTAAAAATTAAAGCTTTACAAATCAATATAAACATGTTGCTCAGCACTTTGTTTAAGAGTGTAATAAATTTTTCACGAGTTCACATTTAAATAGATATGATTGAATACCACATATTTGGTTTTTTGAAAAACAATTTATTTCGATTTCTCCCCAGTTACTGCTTTCCTTAAGGAATTGATGGAATTGGACAATGAGACTCGCAAGCTTATCCAGGGTCCACCCGGGCTGAGGGGTTCACCAGGCCCCATTGGCCCCAATGGGAAACAGGGAGAGCAGGGCCCCCGAGGGGATAAAGGTGACACTGGGGAGGCTGGGATAGTGGGCCCACAGGGCCCCGTAGGCCCACCTGGCATGAAAGGCACTCCGGGTGCGAAGGGCCTGGCTGGATCCTTTGGCTACCCAGGCGATCCTGGTGAGAATGGGGACCCAGGACCTCCTGGACCCCGAGGGCCTGTTGGGGACCCGGGGCTACAAGGCCAACCGGGCATCGATGGGCTTCCGGGCAAGGAAGGGGCCAAGGGGGACATGGGTGACAGAGGCTCAGATGGGTTACCGGGTCCCATAGGGGTACCGGGGTTACCTGGAGCCAATGGAACCCAGGGATCTCCTGGACAAAAAGGAGACAAAGGAGACCGAGGTGGGTATAGTGCTGATGCTATTTAATGTTTCCCTGTTTTAAAGTAGAAAATGAATAATCAAATAATTTTTCCACATTTATTTGAAACTATCGTTAAAATGAAGTGACAGTCTCTCTACGTTTTGCCCAGATACAAACACAAATGTCAAAGGACCTGCACACAGAGTCATGAAAATTAATGAACTTTTGCCAATTCAGACACTTTGACCGTGTTTAAATTTTCTGGCAAGATTCTCAAACCTTGTGTAAGTAATGTAGTTTGATATCAATAACCAGTGAAAACTTTTGAACTTTTACTGTTCTAAAAGGTGTCATGAAAGGTTAATTAAGAGTTGAATAGGGTTGTGTGTTCTGTTTGTTACTCGCAAAGGTACCCGGTATCTCAAAAGTGAAGAAGAGTTGCTGATTGATAATATCTTTTAAGGCAGAATACACCTACATTTACATGACCAATGGGCTTAAACCTTGATTCAAGTCATGCCAGCTTAAGGCAAACATGGAACCAATTACACCTTTCGATTATATTAGTTTCAAGATAAAAACGATAGAAAGTTTATGCATGTAATAACCTTAGCAGGGTGATTAGCTACTTCAACTTAGTGGAACACATTACCTTGATAGGAAAACTTGGTCCCGAGGGACAGCCTGGACGAGAGGGGACCAGAGGACAGAAAGGAGAGAAGGGAGACCGAGGCATCGCATCTGGTAGGTTTGATGTCATCACGATAAAGAAATAAACACATACCGACTGGGCAGGAATGCTTGTCTGTTCACCTCAGTGGAAATGTTTCTCGAAAGGAAGGGTTTGTTGAGATGTGACACTCATATATGCCGTCTGTCCTAAGAAAAAGATGAGGTTGTCTAGTAGTTTTGAAAGGAACCGTGTGGATAAAGAGGCCTCTTAAAAGTTGGACACCTTTAAAAGTGCAGTGTTTTGGAGCCAATTTCAGCCAACAGAGTGCATGGCATCACAAGGGGGCAAGAGAGGACGGCTTCCCCTCTTGAAAAAATGGAAAAAGAAAAATGGGAAGAAAAGAGGAGAGGTCATAGAAACAACCAAGTTCCTTGAAAGTCCCTTGGAAGAGGCCCCCTCTACCGTTTATTGTTGGTCAGTGTGCCTCTGATGAGAGCCCGTCAGGAAACCATTTTTGCACTTGTGGACCACTCACAACTGCACTTGGAAATCATTCACTGGCTTTGGAGGTCATGTGACAGATCTCCACACCAATAAGAAAGCACTGGCTAAGATTTTATTTGTCTCTTTTTTCCCCTTGTGGTCCAGGTATGGTAGAACTCGGCAATTCTGGTGATAATGGAAAGCCAGGTAAGATTTAAAAACTGCTCAAATGAGAAAACTTTATATGACTTTTCAAACAATCACCGATCTGAAGGTTATTTCAAATAGTGATAATTAGATGAGCCGGTCCCCTTTCTATCATCTGTTGACTCCCCCAGGTATGCTCCACTGAAAGATTCTTTCAATAAATTTCTCCCTGCTGATGAACTTTGGAAAAGTTTTAAACAAAAGAACACTTACTACGCTGTGTACTTTATTTTGTCATCCCTCCTAAAACATGCTTTGTGGGTGTTTGCTTTTGGAGTCAATCGTTTCAGCATAGCATTCAAAACGTACTTCATCACTTATCAGGGAACATTAGAAAATCTCAATGGAAAGCTCATATGTTTCATAATAACACATATGTAATGACTCAAATTGAAAATTTACAAGTAGTACAGATATACTGTCATTACCTTTCAACTTGGAAAGTTAGATTTTAATAAAGTTTGAAATACTCTTCCCAAGCAGCACGGGCTTGCATGTTGACTAGTTTACACAGTTCCATTTCTTCCCTAAGATTTTGTTGTTTTTAAAACCTTGAAAATAGATGAAAAGTGAGAGCATTTTAAAATTTTGATGCTTCTACAAAAAGCAATTCAAAGCAGAGATTAACATTTTATCTGTTTTTTTGGTCATAAACTGTTCGATAAGATAATAAATAAAGTATGATAAATTAAATTCACCAGCAATTGTTTAAATTCCACCACAAGCCCCTTCAAAGACTACAGATGACCCCACGCCCACTACAAAACCCAAACAACCACCAGCAGTTGAAATGGAGAGCTCTCCAAATGCAGGTAAGCCCAACAAACATTCTGAAGCCACTAGTTACATTGGATACTGACTAGGAACATAAAACGATAATGTGGTACTTTCTCTAACACGTACTTCTATCTGGGTGAAACCAGGTCCAAATCCCACCAATCCCAAGTTGCACCCAGGTCACCCTGTGAATTGAATAAAAGATGGTTCAGTGGGTCCTTCTTCCCCAAAATATATGTCTCAAGGCCTTCTGCCCATAAATTGACCATCTTACTCAGATTTGATTCCGGAAACAGTGATGTTTACTCAATACAAACATCTATCAATAGGTTCTCCCTCTCTGTCTACAAACGAGTCATCTCTTCTTTTTACTGCCCTTGCAGGACAAGCTTAACTTAATCCCCAATTTTTTTCTTTTTGCCCTCAACAACTCTGGAAATTTTGTATTTTTTTAATCGTAGTTCAACAAAGTTTCTACTTGCCTCTTATCATGGGCAGAAATCTCTCCTTGATCGTGGGAGGGGACATTAATTTACATAATTTACACTTTTTTGTGCACACCGAGTTTATTATCTTATTCCATTTATAAAAACTCAAAAAGGAAAATCCTTGATCCATCAATTCCTTTAGTATTTTGTTTTGCTTAAAACATGGAGGGGATATTTGACATTGTGTCCCTCCATATCAAATTCATGGGGGAGACGTGTCCCCCCCCCGATTTCCGCCCATGCCTCAATTACTTTGTAATAGTTGACGGGTCTGTTGGGCTGTCCTATGTCAAATGTGTGAAGGAGTATTCAAGAATCAGTCCATTGTCTCAGAAAGAAGACGTTCATCAGCCAAACGAATTCGCATGTTGTCCCCCTTGTTTTCCCTATTTTAATTGCCAGAGTGCGTGCTGGAAAAGATCGGTGCTCCCGTAGACCACGAGTATGGTAATACCTACTGGGGTTCTTGGATGCAGGATACCGCCCCAGACCCACCTTACCCCGACAAGATATGGATCACCAAGCATCTCCTTGGAGACGTAATTTATGGTAAAATGTTTATAAAATAAGTTTTAAAAATTCCCACATTTTGTAATTCCAGCTTTCTGAACAGCACGAACTTGCAGTTCTGAAATTCATTTAGTCCCTTTTTTGCTGTGGTAATTAAATTTCTAATTAAAACTGGGATCATGAAAAGAATATGAAATGAGAATTTCTTTTTTTGTTGTGAAAGAACAGCAAAAGTAAGGACAAAGAACAGAGCTTTTAATTTTCTTGCTTGAATATTTTCTCTTGCTTTCGTACCTCTTAGGAAGACAATTTGTAGATTAGAGACTCAAAAGTAGATTTTTATGTCTCTTAATGGGGACCGGCCTGGGAATAGGGATAACATTTTCAGTCTCCACTTAAACAATCATCACATTTTCACTTGCAATCTGAAGGTCATTTTCCAACTTTGGACTGGGTGTCCACTCAGAGACAGAGGCTACAGAGGCTAGAGAGGAAAAAGAGTTCTGGGTATCTGTTTACATTTATGAATCTGTTTCTTCTGTTGCAGAATACAAAAATATGGCCGCCCTTAAGTCGGGCATATACTCTCGGTACTATCGCCTGACAGATGTCTGGTCTGGTACGGGCCATGTAATCTACAACAATGCCTTGTACTACCACAATGGTGGCTTGCCCGAAATAGTGCGCTATGACATGAGCTCAGAGAGGGTCACAGCCCGGGGCACCATCCCGTTTGCCCTGTACCGCAGGATGAATGGATACGGGTACCTCTACGACTCAGACTATACCTACCTTGATCTGGCCATCGACGACAATGGACTTTGGGTGGTATATAAGACCACAGAGCACAACCAGAACCTTGTAGTGTCCAGAGTGGACCTGGAAAATCTCTCAATCATCAAGACGATTGTTTCCAATCACCCCCAGAGCTCTGCTGGGGACGCCTTCATCATCTGCGGCTGGTTGTATACTACCAAGAGCTCCAAGAACTTCCACTCCACCGTAGACTTTGCTGTGAATCTTTACACCGGAGATGAACTGGCTGACGCGGATATCCCCTATCAGAATGGCCACATGCAGATGACCGTGATGTCCTACAACCCAAGGAATCAACTGATATATGGCTGGGACAAGGGGTACATGGTGACATACAATGTCACCTTGACTACTTAACCCTGATCAAAATGAAGTCGGTGGCGTAACTAAGGGGGTGGGGGGGGTTAATCCTCATTTGCAGTGCCCAACTTTTGAAAACCTTAAAAATGAACACAAGAAATATATACAAGCCAAAGTTCATTTGCTTTCTGAGTCCCTTTGAAAAACTAGTGCACCCTGGGTGCCTCTCCCCCCCCCAAAATAATTTGAGTCCAGTTGTGTGAACATTGGATGGAAATTCTGAAAATGAATGGAACAGCGTAGACAAATTTATCCACTTGAAAAAAAAGAAAAAAAACAGCAAAATATACAAATGTGCAAAGTATATGCATACTTAAATACACATGCACTTGCACACAAACAAAAACTTTGATCTCAGCGAATGGAAATGAAAATTTGGATACCAACTCTCAAACTGACCCACTGAGGGCTGTGCCGAATATCCGATTAACTGAATATTCGATCGGTTATCAAATATTCGAGTACTATTTTCCGAATTTGAATATTCAAATGCAAAATCATTCTTGCATTGCACATTTTTCCTTTGTTTTAAATGAGAAAAATTGCATGTTTGCACGAAAAAAGGCTTGTTTCAAGTTGATTCAAATGAAAAGTGACAGAAATCTTACAATGATTCAAAAAGTGAATTATTCAATAAAAAGTTTAAAAGGAAAAGAAATTTTCAACAGGGCAAGAAATATTGTTCATCTCTTAAATCTTGCTAAATCGTGGCTGGAGATACTCCTAGATGTGAGAAGCTATTACAGTGATTATAATGTACAGTTGTGTGCATTATTGCAACTGATTTGGTATAAGATTTGTTCATCAACAATCTGTCGGTCAGTACGACCGAATATTTGATCAAATTGAAGGTTGAATCATGAACAACCAAAAACCCTGTTTGACACTGCAGTTGTAAATACATACCAACAACCGCTTTTATACATATAAGAGTACCGTACATTTTGAAATTTTGCAATTTGGTGCTTGTAAGGCCTGCACTGCAGTATTTGGGTGTTGCCATGCACACATCTGGATCCCAGTGAGGACGAGACTCTGAGAGTTCTGGAGGGCAATTTTATACCAACCGGACAAGGAGAGGAGAATGTATATCAAGGCCACCGAAATCTACAGTGATGCATGCACATGATTAGGCTCGTCACTTTGACAGGCTTGGACAGTATGATAGACCGAATCATCTCAAAACATGGAATACAACGGTGGAACATTTCACAGCCTGGGCTAACTTTGTAAATAGTGTAGCAAAATTGAAAGCAGTTGAAATATATAGCCAAGTAGCCATGGGAAAAAGTTTTGTAATATCTGTAATTTTTCATCTATAAACATGTAGAGTTTTAATTGTCAAGTTTATTATGTATATGTATAAACATGTAGAGTTTTAATTATGAGATTTAGATTTTATAGAAGTGTTACTGATATCTTTATTTATATTGTCACTCAGTGTGCAGTCGAAAACCTTCAAGACCATCACCAGACCCCACAAGATCATTTTAAGATAAGACAAGACATCCTGTCAGAATTCAAGTCACAAGCAATTCACATGAACTGCCAAAAGCATTCCTTTGTCAGTGTTCACCCTGTTGCGTGTGTTATAAAGTGGCCTTGACTGCATTACTCTACACAATATTCAATCCGGTCACTTAAGTATGTACTGTTTATACTCTGTCTGCTGGATAGTGTTTAATTGTTTACTGTTTATTCAAAGTGGTGTAAATAATGTTTGTATTCTCGTATATTATTAAAATGTCATTTTAACTCTGACTTCATGTCCTGTTTTTGCATTTCGCCTGAGATTTTTGACAATGAAATACAACACCTTGGCCTTGCCAGATTTGTTTTACATAGACTTGTGTTCGTTACCTGCACTGGGGAATTTGGAGGTTAACTAAAAAGGGGAGTCCTTTGCAAAAAGTCCAATCTCTTTTCGCCCTACCGAGTCAATCTTTTCCAGAAAATACCCACAATTCCCACAGTATTTCACACAGTTTAAAAATCTTACGATTAGATTTTGACCGGTTTAACTTGTGGCGATTCCCACTCGACCTCAAATTAAGCAACAACCAATCAGTGAAGTTACGATGGCTGATCAACTGCCGCTTATCAGCCAATCGAAATTGACGAAAACTTCCCGTCAGTGTCATTGGATGAGGGAATCCCGTCTGCACGTCAGTGATCAGAAGGCTACATCGGTCATCAACTGCTAGCTGATGACGCCCTCAGTCTTTTTGCAGTAATTGTCGTGGACTCTGCAAAGCCAGCACTGCAGGTACGTTACGTGTGCATTTTTACCGCACCGGTGTGCCGCTGTACTTTCGTGGCAACGGTAGGCCTAGGTCGTATGCACGTATATACTTCATGTACATGATTGCATAGCCCTGCCGTGCCCAGGCCAGTCCAAAGCTGAACATCGCACAGTTTGGGTGTGTGTTTTTGGTCTTTAGCCTTTATCATTGTACTTGCATATTTCAAGTTAACGCCGTGTGAGTCAGTGCTGTTTGCGTCGTGGTAAGTGGATTCTTAAAAAATTGAAGATAAAACATCGTGTCACGGTGCACTGACTAACGTTAGGCATGGGTTGGTTGGCGATTCAATGAAGCAGAGTTAAACCACTTGTTTGGTTCGTTTGCAAATACGATCCGTTATGGTTATTAAAGTGCACACGTAAAGACATTACACACATTGTAGTGTTTATCTTGCCGTTTTATCATTCAGTTTAGAAAACTCATAAACTTATATACGCTATTGCCACATTTACAGTAACCGTGATACGGTTGAAGAGATGCTTCGAGCCAGGGTCTGGGAAAGTGTTAGGCCTAGACCATTTTTTCAGGGCAGGAACTTCGTTCTTGACAGGGCAAAGCAATTTCTTATTTGCAAAGTGCACTTGTTTTAGAAAATCAACTTGTCTACGGTCTAGTATGGGGACATTTCACTGGGCATTGATGAGGCAAAGACCAGGGGCACCAAGGCAATTGCCTCTGATGTCTCTGTGAAGTTCCTCCCCATTTTTTTTTCCGCGAAAGATCTGTTCTGTGTGGGTGTGTAAAATCTAATTACTGTTTATATTTCCTGCATTAACAGTTAAGCATACCGGTAGTTGCATGTTCATGTATAAACCAAACTGATGCCACACATTTAATGTATTTGTTGCCCAAGTACCAGATAAGAAAAAAATGGATCTTGAAGATTTCATAATATGTAGGTTTGCCATTTCTTTCTTTTCCTCTCAATGAAAATGGCGACAGTCTCCCTAGTGGATAACTCCTTTCTCAAACTGACTATTTCAGATTTCCAAAACTGGTTGCACCGTGGAGAGTAAAGGGTTGAATTTTGTGAGAGTGCAGAGCAGCTGAATGCATACATCAAAGGGGACTGAATCAGTGGCATCCCCAAAGTACTCTTGAATGTACATTACACTGACCACCTCACCACAACCAGAATCTGAGATGACAACTGCCTCTACTAGCCCACCCCCAGCTGAGGAGCTGGAACGCACCGTGGAGCAGTCCGGCCTCATCCTGACCAAGAAGAACATCGCCGATGAGGAGTCCTTTGTCGTCGAGCTGCAGGAGGTCTTCAATGTGGGCTACCTGACGCTGCACCCACTCTTCGCTCTCCCCGTCTGCTGGGCCTCAGCCAAGATCCGGCCTGCCCCGAACCGACCTCTGAACTCTGACCTCTTTGACAAGCCAGACGAAGTGCTGGACATCACCACAGTTGTGGCATTCCCGAAGGAGGCAAAGAAGCTGCAGATGCCAGCACAGTTGGATGTGTTCAGATGCAGCAGAATAACGGTGAGTTTGACAGTTGGACTTCTGGAGACTTGGAAGGGTGATAGCTGGATATTTAACTGCATTTAAACCGGGTAAATATTGAAAACCCCAAAATTTTATTCAAATGACCTAGTGTACATGTATGTACAAGTAATATTGATTGCAAAACTTCAATTGTAACTTGTTTGATAAGCTAGTCCACCATCACAATTCATTACTAGGGTGCTTTTATGAAAATTGGAAATTTAAAACTTAACAGAACAATTGCTTGCAAAATTTATTGATGCAGTGGTAAATTAACATGCGTTTGCATGTGTTTTGTATAGGGATTCAACTTTAAGATTTCAGTTCACAATTTATATTCCCGTGAGTATTTTACGGTATTCACTGCATAGTGCAGGCTCTGTGTCGCTGACCACAATTGTATTGCTGCTAACCACATTGCACAGTGCATTCTCCTGTGTGCTTTGATGTGATTCATTCAATGGAATGGAATGTCAGTATTTGTTTTTTTTACAATGGCTGTTACCAACTCCCCAAACCTGTCTTGTGAAGAGAGCTGTTGTGTCCGAGAACAATCAAAGCATGGACTCAATTACGAGTGGAGAGGATGGAATAAACTGAAGTATCCAGTGTGTTCAGGGTTGGTCATTTAAAAGTAAGGGGCCTTGCCCTGACTTCAAAATCAAAGTCATGATATGAGAGTTATCTTGCAGTGAAGCATACATGTACTTTGATTCTCTGTGGGTCAGGTTGTGTCTGCTTCTGTGGTTTATTTACCCTTATCATTCAGTATTATTATATTTCTCCCCATGATGTGTTGTTCTCATTTACATGTACATGTGTGTTCAGGTTGATGTCAGAAGTTCCATACATTGGCGTGGAATTTATTTTCAGCAATTCACAACCTGCATACAGTACATGTTCAGTTTGATTGTCAAAGGTCGGCGCACCATTACCTGTACAGATAGATTCTACAATTTACAAGTTCTGAAGTACATGTGTGATGACTGTAGTGCATGCATGTTGTCACCTGATGCAGGGCAGACAAAATCCTTTCTTGTGCCAGTGACAGCCAAAAACACCCCTATCTGGCTGTGATGCCACGGGCAAAATATAAACTTGTTTGTGTGCCTGCCATTTATGCATGTATACCTGTCTACATAACTTCCATGCATGTACACACCGCTTGACATTCATATCAACACAGTCTTACATGTATGGAAACTAACTTGTGTTCTTAAATTGAGTTGGCTAGATTCAGGGTGCGTGTCCTCATGAGTTGGGGAACCCTTAATCCCCAGAGTGCAAACTACCCGAAGTGCTCAATGGCACTTTAAGCTCTGCTCCAAACACCAGGCCCCATTGTGTACAAGTAGCTACTGGAAGGCAGAGTTGGCATTTTCCTCCACCTTCCCACACTAATACCATTCTCTCCTGCCTGGTCTGTGATTTCTGTATCTGAAGTGCTCAGCCCAGATTGACTGATGAGGAGACTGCATGTATTTGGACATTCTTCAGCACCTCGTGAAGGGCTTAGAAGAGAGGGGTTGAAGCCTTTCATGTTGGGTCTCCTGTGTATGTTTGCTGTTGTGCCTTGGGCACTGTGGAATTCCTGTCGGATTCTGGATATCAGGGGCTTTTAACATTTGATCCATGGAGTGCAATCATGTTAATGCAACATGTTCTTTTGGGTGTGTTTTTAACTGTACATGAATCAGGTTGCTCCATGGGGTGAAAAGTAGGTTCTATCGGTAAATTTGTTTCAAAACAAACTGTCTCCAGCACTCTCCATACATAACAAATAATTAACTTAGAATCTGTTTTGCATTTTCTAACTGAACAACAGAAGGAAACGAAATTCAGGATGCCATGTGCAATGTTTGTGTACCAGTACATTTTGTAGGTTCTATTATCGTTAAATTTGTTTCAAAACAGAGTGTCTCTGGCACACTCCATAGATAACAGATACATGTACATGTAATTAACTAAGAATCTGTCTTGCATTTTTTTTTAATGAACAACAGAAGGAAACGAAATTTAGGATGCCATGTGCAATGTTTGTGTACCAGTATATTTTTGTTGTATACAACATTTGAAAGAGTCAAACATAATGCTTGATAATATAGTCATAAACCCACACAAACTAAACATTTGGAGCCATTGTTGGATATTCTGTTTGGACATACATGTAGTTTGATCAATGGTCCGTTCTGTACAGTGTAGTTAATCTGTGAATTACTGAATACATGTAGACAGAAAAGGTGATCAGCTGATGGTAGAATAGACTTACAACATAATGACATAACGTGCTACACACGCGTTCCTGCAACATCCCCACCTTTCACCCACAATGCATTGTGGTAAACACTGCATTACGTCATTATGTTGTAGGTCTATTGTCAACAAAATACTGGCATGTTGACCAATTCTGCAAAGATCTTGAGATCTTAATCTTGAGATATTGCACCGCTTGTACATGTACATGTAGTACTACATGTACATGTACGTACAACGTACATCTACTTGTTTATGTGGACATGTAATACCTGTAATGTATAACATAAAGACCGATTCGCTGACACCGTTACTTGCAGTGTCCCTGCCATTCAGGCGTGCATTCCTAAACTTAACGCATGCGTGATTTTGGTTAGCAGCGTGTCCCCATTGGCTGAGGAAACATTTCAATGTGCATCTCATTTGTACAGGCGCATGGGGCCACTGCAGTAATAGCTCTTGATTCTTGTCACTGGATTGGTCTTTAACTTCAATTATAAGTAATCACTGGAGATTGTGCCTGCCTTGATGTACAGGTACCAGTATGTAAATCTCTCACGGGCAGTGACCTTCTTGGTCAAGAGTTGACTCTGTAAAAGGAAAAAAGTGCAGGGAAAGTACAGTAATGTGCGATGTGAACAAGAGTGCATGCAGGCAGCAAATGTATGATGTATTTCAACATCAGGGTCAATTCTGCATATATACTCAATAGAATTGCTCACATTATTCTTTGGGGGGGGACCACTTTGAGTTATGATTTTTTTATTTCAAGCAGATTTGTGATTTTTATTAATTTCTTTCACTTCCCCATTTGCTCCCCTAATGATGCTTACAGTTGCCCTGCAAGTTCTTTCTACAGAAATACAGGAACTGGCCACAATACATATCTGGCTTGTTAAGATGGTTAATGCTGGAGCAAGTGATTGCAGTGATGAGAACTTGCCCTGTCTTGCCTCTGGCATGTCTGGGTATAGTGTGTAAACCAGTAGGCCAAAAGTGGATGAAGTGCATCTCCTGTGGCATTTGTCGAACATGTAGTCATACAATCCTTGTTACAGGAGACCCTGATCACTCTGACGGTACTCAGTGTATTAGGCTTGATGGAAAAGGGATCCCTGCAAATAAAAAGTAACAAGGGTCTACATGTAAATGTACTATGCACATTGTTTGTTTGTGGAATATCAGGTTGCATAAGCCTAGAAAAATTACAAAAAGGACATTGTGCGTGACCACACATGTAACGGTATCTTGTGCTTGTACAGAAGAGCTTTCATCTTAATATTATGGAAATGAATTAGAAGCATTGTACCACGTTTGCAAGAATCCAACTTAGCATTCAAGTCCAGTAATCTGGTTGGAGACATTCAGGATTGATCATCAGTTGTGATCATTTCATTTATGAGTTAGTTTGGGAAATATTGTAACACATCTCAGAATAACTACATGTATAATTAATGTGACGATAAACTGTCTGGGCTGCTCAATGACCTTACAAAGTTACATGTAATTTTAAGCTTCAGTCATTTTTTGAAGAAATTGTCCTTGAATCTCCAAACTTAAAAGGAAAATAGAAGAGTCAAGGCCTATATAATATAATGTTTCAAGGGCTGTGTGGTCCTTTCTCCATCAAAATCAAACAAAACCAAGTGTTGGATTTTGGCAATGTTATACCGTATTTTAGAGTTCAAGGATGCTGTTCCCTTACATTTTATTGTACCCGCATTTTCCAATTTTTGGTTCACTTGCAGTTCGGTTCAGGTTGAAAAGTTACCACTACCAGAGGATGACCCAACTTTGTTCTATTGTTTTATTAATGTCCAAGGTGTCAATGCCCCATACCAGCAAAAATTCTGAAATCCCGCATGAAAGAAAAGTACAAAAAAAAAGAGTTTTTGCATCTTAAGTTGAGAAAATTTAAATTTATCTGCATATTAAAACAACTCACATTCAGCAAGTAAACGAACTTGGTTTTATATTGTTAAGAAAACAACTACATGTATACCAGCATATTGTTTGATGCATTCTGTATATGTACAATGTATGCTTCTTTCAACATTACATGTTCATGTAAGTGTAGAATCAAGTATACATGTACTTTGAGTATAGTTAGTAATTTATGTTGGTTTTGATAGCAAACAGAAATTTATCAGTTGAAAAAATAGAGTAATTTTCTATGTAAATATCATATCAGTCACTGAATTCTGTTGCTGTAACCTTGATTTTTTCCTCATTTGAAACAAAGGAAGCACGTATGCATGTACATGTACACCATGCTGTGCTCTGTTTAGTCTTTGAAACTGAATACATTCTTTTTTGCCCAGGTTGTCAAAGTTCAACATTTCTTCCCAAAATGACAGGAAGTATTGAATTGATTGATAAAGACCTCCAAAGGGAAGTAATGATGTAACCCCTTAACCTTTGCTGTTTTCGGACCTACACGTAGAAGCTTCCTGAATTTTGAAAGAATGAAAGAGAACTTTGTAGAAACCCAGTGACTCATTCAGTACATTAATTAGATGAATGTTTGCAGCATTGATAGTGGCAGTGTTTACATGTACCCCAGTAAGTTGCAAAGTCCTGAACCCAATTAAAAACATATCCATCACGGTATGCGGAAGGATTTTGTAGGACTGAGAATTTGGTGGGCTGAGGAAAGCAGCGACCAGGGTCCGTCGCGTGACACAGGGCTTTAGATAAAAAATGGTGTCAGCGTTTCCTATAAGATTAAAAAAATTATAATTAGGGTAGAGGTTCACATAGAATCATGTAGTTGTGTATTTAACATGTTTTATTATGCTTGTTTCATTTTTCGAGCCAAAACCGTTAGGTGTAATGATGGTCAAGTAATTTATGTTTTTATAATTTGTAACCATTCACAAATGATGCAGTTACCAGTAGATACACTAAACTACATTGAATGTACATGTCGTAGTATCAGGTCTGAATTAGCCGAATATGGAAAGTACATATATGTAAAAAGATTGCTATGGGCACAAATGCACAAAATCAAGCCATTTTTTAGGCTGAAAGTACAGGATGACATGTACACAAACAGGTACAGTGTACATGTACATGCACATACATGTACTTGGTTGGCATTAAAAGCTGCCATTTGCTTTTTTTTGAACAAAAGAAATGAGTTTGAGTTTGGGTTGGTTTGGGTATCTGGAAATGATAAGTTCTTTTTTTTTCTTGATTTGACCCGACCTTTGAAAATAAATTGCAACCATGCTTTTAAAATGCTTTGAGTTAAAGTGAAGGAACAGAGAGCTTGCCATTCATTTTTTCTGCTCAGTGTGGGATTTTAGAGGATTTGGGAAGGACCATGCCAAACATGCCGAGAGGAGGTGGAGGAGATATTCCAGTTTTTCATTTGTGGGAAGTATGATTTTATTTGATTCAGGATTGATACAATGGAAGGTACACATTTTTAATGCCAGAAAATTAGCTCTGCAAACATTGTCTGGTCTGGACAACTGCCATCTGTTTCTCATCACAGATGTGTCCCTATAAAGCATTCATGGTTCCTTCTGTACCAGCCTAGACCAACAAATATTTACACTCACTGGGAGCAAATATGTCCCTAGCCAACCCAGGGCCTCCTAATTTGTGTACATGACCTAATTTGGAAACCAGACTGATGTATACACAGAAATTAGGCATGGGCCACTGTTTAATACCCACAGGGCCCTGTAAGGGTTGGTCTTGAACCCTGTAGATGCACAGGACCCACCTGCCTTTTCATCAGCCACTTTTTGTCAAAATAAACAAGTCCCTGTGCACAGCTAAAGTGTAGTGTCTAGTCCTCAGGGCTGCAAACACCGGGTACTACAGCCCAGGATGCACATGTACATGTACTGCAGTAGTACATGTATTATTTGGCAAATCGTGTTTCAACCTTAGCTGTTTTGAACTGTCCTGTTGGGCACCATGCTAAGGACATGTACGAGTATACTAGTATGTACACGTTCATGCATGTTATAATATGTACATGTACACATGTATTACATGCCTCCGAATTGGCAAGCCTTCCCATCCTATTCCACCTGGTACTGCCTGAAGCTCAGTTGTTCACTGGTAGCTGTGAAATGGCCTTGAAGTTAAGGTGGAGTCTTGCCTCAGTATGCATGCTTGGTGAGTTATGATTCAAAGGTTTGTGCAAGCACATAAAGGTGTGCAGGGAGTAATATTGGTACTCAGTACAGTGCATGGTAACCAGTGAAATCTCAGAAGCTATATTGTATGAAGCTGTTGCCTGTCTCCACGGGGCCAGGTATTGACGTTATTTCCCTACCTGATCTCTCTCCTCCTGCCCCTGCCCCCAAATTTCACTGTTCTGGGGAAAAGTGGAACTTCAGGGAAAACTCTCTGCTCACAATTGTTTTTTCTCCCATATACGGTACCATGAGCACACCAGTAAGTTTACTGAAGAGGCCGGGGAGCCTTAAATACTGGCACATGTACACTACGGAGGAAGTCAAAAAAGCACATTGGGCAGTAAAAATGTTGACAGATTGATGGTGACATATTTTTGTGAATTGCATGGTGCATGCCCACTAGACATGCAATGATGCACACACCAGTAAAAAGGTAAACTTTTTATTGCATCGTTCCCCCCCCCCAAATTTTGTTTCAAGCAAGGAGTACATGTTTATTTTAATGCCAAACATATGCATACATGTACACTGTCATGATTCTGTCATTCAGTGTTTATAGTTCAGTAGTCTTGAGAGTAGAATCTGGGATTGTACAGTACATGTACCAGTATGTTTGTCTCCAGAAAAGTGTTCAACCTCATTTTACAATGTATAGCTCCTGGGTATTGCTGAACCGATTTCTAGTGAGGTTATATTTTGCAACAAAAACCCTGTCTCCTAAAATCCTGCAACATGCAATCCGTTATTTGCACACTTGAAAGAACCATTTATCATCCATCCAACACAATCCCCTCCTATCAGAATGGACTTTTTTATGGGTCAAGTTTGACTGTGAATGCAACAGTTGTGTCAATGTCACAGGTGGTTGCTACACAATGCTGAGAGCAGACCGGTGTCACTGATGATGTGAATAGGAACTGATATTACCCACTTCGTGGTTTCCAGTTTATTGGATGCCAGATCATTCCGTGTCATTAATTGTGGAATTTAGTCTCATTTTAAGAGATCTTTAAAGGACTCTAGTACTCAAGTTGACCTGCATCTTGCGATTCTCTTCTCTGCACCTGTCAATTTGGGCATTCCATGAGCTCATTCTAGAATAAAAGACTGAATGCACTTAAGAAATGCATTGTGGCTACATGTACCAGTACATATACACAGTCTGCAGCAAAATTGTAAAGTAATTACCGTAATTCTGTTGTTGGAAAATGAGTATTATTGCTTCTACTGTGCTGTTGTCACTGAAGTACTGTATTATGGAATGGTTCGTATGTTTGCGCGTTCTGGTAAAGTGTACATGTATGTAATTTGGTTCTGTTCTCATTTACAATTATAATAGCCCGAACACAGGTGCACCTACTGGTAGTGGATACATTGTGTATATGTTCATAAATACAGGTACTGATGCATGTACAGGTGTACACCCTGCCTTGGTTGAAATGAAAAGTGCAGTGAAACCAGGCTGCACTCCATGCATGATTGTGCATGATGAACAGTTTCCATGGCATAGATCTCAGAATTCGTATAGACGGGTAAGAAACAAATCCCTGTGTCGACTCCTGTGTTGTACATGTACATGATGTACTGGTAACAGGCACTGTATACAGGATATTACATCGTCACAGCCTACCAACTGCCATAAGCTGCATGTACAGTACATGTTCTGTACCACATATCGGTATGTACCTGATGCACATGTACAGTATGTACATGTACGTGTAGTCATGGGGACAGCAGTTAGTGAAGAAACGGCTTAGCAAATACATAACAAACGATGTACCCGTAAATTACAGCAACTGGCATTGGAAAACCAGATTACTGTCTCAGACCTGGAGGCTGCATCATTAAATGTCCATCAGTGGAGGGTTATCCTCATGGTTGGCTTATGAAGTAACATTTAATATATGTTACAGGACTGTAATTCAATAAGAACAAATGCTGGTGCAGTGTTCAGTGTAAAGGCGGATTCATACTACTTCAGGCAAGTGCGAAAGCAGCAAAATTGTGTTAAACCATTTGTAGCACGAGTGTTTGATTTGATGTCACAAATTCATGTTTGTGTTTGCTTCTGAGCCAAATGTGAAAGGCCTGAAGAATGCCCAAGATTATGGACGTCTAAATTTTCACACACCAATGTTTTATTTATGCATGTACATGTACGGTTATACATGCATGTACATCACATGCTCTGAAATTGTAAAAAAAGAAAGAAAAGAAAAGCTACCGATAGGATTTAATCTGAAGGTGCAGGTGGCAGATCGGGGGGGGGGGAGTTGGAAAACCCTGCTTTGAGTAAACAAAATGGGAGGGGGGGAATGGAGGAAATAATAAAAAAATAAATGAAATTAGTGCAACAATACTATTGTAAACAATGTAGTGAGTTTCCGCTTGCCGGCAAAAGTGAGATATTAAAAAAATCTCCAGACCGACTCCCCCTGGAAAGTATTCCCAGATGATAAAATATTCCGTACCAGAGGTAATGATGGTGTAAAGTGCTGATGTAAACATGACGAGCGCATTATACATGTACATGTAGTAGTACTCATTTGAATCAAACACAGGAGAGAAACCTCTTACCGGTGTGTTTTTATTTGTTATCGCGGCACATCAGGAGTCACCATCCCATAGCTGCCGTGTTGTTTGTGCAGACACGGAACCAATAAATTTACCCACTGAGTCTTGTGCAGATCCTCTGCAATATTGACCAAGATTTTCTCATCCTGGTTTGCTGAACTGAAATGGTATGATTGATTGAGTGCACCAAGGACCTTGAAGGGACTTAATCAAGTTAGTTGCTTCTAATAAAAATTGAAACTATCTACAAACAGGCATGTGATATGCTTACCAAATCGAAACAGATGATTATATGCCTCACAAAGCAAGCAGTGCAGTTCCCGACTCAGAAAACTATTCAGATAAAACTCAGTATCTCATGATTTTCCTTCGCAGTCTTGCATGCACAACACAATTAATAGAACGAAAGAAGATATTTTTTCCCTCGTTCCAAATTTGTTAGTGAGGAAAAAAGAGTCTCTGTGCACCAGAAGTAAACCAAGTTGAACATGTTATTTTGAAAAAAAAATCCACAAAAATAGCTAGTCATTTAATAATTAAGTATTTTGAGGCTTGGAGCTCACGGTCTCATGAGCCATACAAACAGCACTTCGATCCAACCCACTTCAATTCCGCTTGAAGATTGCTTTCTCAGATTTTTCTGTTGTTAAGTTTTAAGAACCTTAAACAGTCACTGTAAGTCAGTTCACCTTCAAAGTGCTGAGACAACTTGTTTGTCCAATCTAGTCTATTTTTAGCAAAACGTGAAAATCTGTCTAATCCCTCAGAAGCAGGTTTAGTTTCCCTGTAGCACCGGCCTTCGTCTGGGAAAGGGTGACTTGCGTACAACCTGCCAGATGTACTCGGTGCTCCAGTCAGGGGCAGCAAAGAAAAATCCAAAAGAGTCTTGGCACAAGTCAGTCGATCCTTTCTCAATCTGAGCAGGCTCCAGAAACTCGAGGTGGGGCATTTTCTCGATGTACGGTAGCCTGCCATAATTCAGCAGTCTGAACCCCTCCACTGTAAATGTCAGACAAGAATTTCTTCAAATTAAAATTCTAGGATATATGTACCAGCACACCACTGCAGTGCTTAGTCTGTGCATCCTATACACTTACATGGTGTGATAACAGTAGACAAGATTACTTGTGACAGATACTGCCATCAGCAAGTCAGATTAGTTCATATGAAGCCTTTGGTGCCATATCCTCTCGATCTACAAAGCATGTTGGATGGCACGCATAGAAATTTGCCTTGCTGGAAAAATATTTTGCCTTCCATTGGAATAACTTAACCTTTAAAAACACTGAAGAATAATTCAGAAAATGGCACAAATACCTGTACATGTCTGTGCGATCCACAAACAGAAAAACTGCTAGAAGTTCACATTCACGTCTACTAGCTAGAAGAACTGAGCTAGTAAGCTAGGCTTGAATAGTTGCATAGACTGTTGATCTTGAAGTGATTCTGAATAAAATGAAAATATGTCAGGGAAAAACGTTTTAAGGAATAAAAACAAATTCTTGTATCATCAAACTGGCATTTACATGTACACACACACATACATGTACTTCTGCATAAAGAGGCAGACTTTCGTTTTTTTGTCAATAGATTTTCCACACCACTTGATTTGACAAGACAGAGCAAACATACTGTACATGAACAGTATTGACTTAGAGCTGTGAGGCAGACTCCATGGTATTCATCACAAGCCTCCCATCTATGCAGGAAACATTTACAGCTGTGCAGCAACACTTCTTGAAGCTGCAGCCCTAGTGCATCCCATCAAAGAGATCCGCCATTTAATCCGTTCGTGCCTAGTGTGTGAGGGCCTACAGGTACATGTACGTGCGTCGTGCTCTGCATTTTACAGTAGTCTCCAGTGACTTAGAACTGTACAACACTACACAGACTCATCTTTTTCGTTTCTTTTCTTTATTTGCGTGCAAAGGGATGGATCTCCTGATTCATTTGTGTGCAGATTTGTTGCCACAAAAGTTGATAGTCCGATATTGAAATGCCACTTTCTTGTGCATTGAAGCATTTTTGTTCCACAGCAAATACATGTATTTGAAGAGTGAAGAATCTCACCTTTACAGTATACAAAATGAATAGCCACTGGGTGTGTGTATCGTAGTTACTATCTGATAACCTGTGAAACAAATGAATTATTCACTGCCCTTTTTGTTGAGCTTTAGTATTTCTTAGGGGAGTGTTCCACTGAGAGAAATATTGATTTTGATAAGTAGGGCTTGGAGTTTGCTGTTGTCCAAATAATTGTTTGATGTTAAAATGGCAATTACCAGTGAATTAAAGTTGTGTCACTTAAGTACCATTAGCCTCTGGTTCATGTGAAACTTCCTTTAGCATTCTTTGGTTTAATAAGAGATTCATCAGGAAAGAATAACTACAATGTAAAACAATTTAACACAAGTGCCGATGGGCTTCCTCAGTGGTTTCTTGCCACTGGGAAATAGGGATGCACAACGTAGGAATGTATAGGTGTATTTGAGTTGATTGAATTATGCGTCAGGGCCCAACACGAATTTGTGATGTGGTGTTAAATATTGGCCCTGCAAATATGCAAAATTTGAATGCATTTCAACTCGCGCAAAATGTTGCCGCAAATCGTTCCTGGAGTCAAATTTGCTTTGCTTTTACGTTCACCTGAAGTACGATCCTGCCTTCATGAAAGTCATTTAGGGCTGATACAGCACGGGTAAATGGTCCGTGGATACAGTGACCAAAATTAGTACATGTAGCTGTTACATGTACCGGCACCTTGGTAGGACCAAACTAGGGGCCTGGGCAGGTGATGTTTCTTCAAGATGGCGTTGTTTCTTGCACAAATTTTATGTACATGTACATGTATGCATGCCCACCTCAAGTTCAAGAGAGTCCATGAGGATGCCCCGCATCTCTTGAAATTCAGAGTCAACAAGAGCACATGGCGTGCAAGGACACTGTAGGTTTTGACAGTTTTTTCTTTTGGATCACTTTTGGAGAGAGAAGTTGCCAAACATCAAAATCACCTACCTCAGCCTTGGTTATGGGAATAGTGGGTCACATATTACATATTATAAACTTGTTCCTAGAGAATTCAGCACTCAATCCAGTTACAGCATTGTGTGTCTTTATCTGAACTTGCTATTCAAAGGGGCCTGGGAAACACCTGGTGTACAGACGCCACAACATTATTTTCCTTACCAAAGTCCACTCACTGTACACACAGGCATGTCCGTTATTGACGTCTGCACGTGTATCACGCTCCAATATTTTTTGTTCAAACTTCAAAGGACCCCATTACTTCCAAACACCTGCAAGAAGTGGATTTTGCTCAGTGCGTGCTCGTGGCGGGAAGCAAGCCCGCATAAATCAAAACACGTTGCACATGCTTGACGGCTTGTTTTCATTTGGCTGAAATGCAGTATGCAAGTATTTGTTTATCCCCCTACACTGGATACACCAATGGTAAAATGATACTCGCGGGCAAAATTCTGGGCTACAGTAATGTTGATGAACACAGTAATGACAGAATGTTCAACAAACTTAAACAATACCTGTGCTATTTGTCAAAGTTTTCTTTTAAAGTGGTACAGTTGCTTGTATGTGAAGAAGAACATTCCAGTCATAAGTAGTAGTTCACAATTCACATCCTTGATAAATTGTTTCAAACAGTACTCCGTAATTTGGACACCATGGACATCTACCTACCTGTCCATATAGGTCCCAGTACCTTACCACATTGCTGAATATTTTGTACTGATGTCTAGATATGCTACGTGATATTTCCTGGGCTTTCTTTGAAAAAACTTCACAAGGTTGCTCCCGTGGGACCGGAACCCTTGACTTTTTCAGGATTCTTGACCTTTGTCAAACTTTGTGAGCTCTATTTCAACCCTGGTGGGAACACATCGCATTTTGCAAAATACAGGAATATTTTTGGTTGAGTGGATGGCCACATTACCAGTTAAGTGTACATGTGTAGCTGAAACCAGAACTTCATAGCCTGGTGTCTCATTCTTCTTATCTTTCACCTCAAAGGTGTCAGGGAGGAAATTAAGCCCCCATTCAGCGTGGCAAGGATGATGGCATTTGTGCCTAACCAGACCAGTTGTCTAAATCTTGATGGCAGCAGTTAAAGATGTGGTCTGTCACCAGTGGCAGTTGAAGACAAATATCCTGTACATACATGCACCTGCAGATCCATTAAGCTCTGGCCCATCCCTTGGACTTGATCTACCTCTAATGTGCATTTTAACCAAGAGTGAATGAAGCAACGTTGACAGATGTGGAGTTAAAGAGTTCATACAGTGAATTTTACATTCTCTTGAGAACATGTTTCATGCAACTTCCATACCACTGCCCTCCTAAATGTAGAAAAACAGCCTCTCTTGCTGAAAGGTGATTTTTACATGTAAAATTTTCCATGCTTTTCTTGATAATGACGTTTCTGCCTTGCGTGAGATTACACTTTTGCTCAGAAATATAGAAATTTCCATTTTGGGCAGAAGTGGATTTTGAATTCCATATGTACAGTAAGTACATTTGAAGCATTTAGTCGTCATATTCATGTATTGCTTTTTTTCCTGTGGATTTGTTTGCATGGAGCACGTTCAGTAAACTAGCCTCTTGACGACAGCTCCGCTACAATGCTGTCATTTACAAGGTGTAGATTGAGGTGGCTTTTTTTTTATTTGGATTGGATTGGAGCTTGTCGGAATGATTGGAAGGGATTGATCCATTAAGGCATTGACATCAGTCTTGGTCCCCTCATGCTCCTGCAGTAACATACATTTAGCTCCAGGCTGTTCATGATGCTGTCAATGGAAGCTTGTTGGAGGGAAAACTCTAGTGCCCACTAATGCAGTAAATTCTTCCCCTTCATTAACTTCTATTGTGCGTGCTCATATACATTTTCCTATGTGCAGAAATGGGTACATGTACATGTGCTTATGTGGGACTGTTTATAAAATTGTTTTGGGGTGGTGGCGTAATACAAACCTCTAACCGTAGCCTTGAACAAAAAGAACATTTGGTGAAATTTAAAACTCACCTTTTGTTCAGAATTACCTAGAAAATTCATGCAAGGTCGTTTCATTTTTATTGCCCCAACTCAGTTGTTGGCGAAGCCACTTGCCCTGCAAGAAAGTGAAATCTTTTAAATCAAGGTACATTGTACGCATGACATGTATTCGGTATATAATAGACTGCTCATAGCGATGATTGCTAGGAATTCATGTCTCACATTTGGGCAGGGTGACGTTATATGCCGGTAATGTGCTGAAGTAGCATCAGGTGCAGGCCATTCTATGCATGAAATGGGTTTGCAGTTCACTGGCGAGGAATTTGGCAGGTTGGCCAGTGATACGTGCTATTTCTTAGACGCAGTTCGCCTCATCAATTTCATCACTGTTTAGCTGTGACCCCTCGTATCATTAGCTGTAGTTGATACATGTCAGTCCAGGATGGATGTTCACAAGTTCCTGTCAAAGGCAATTCAGCATTTTGAGGGCCTCTTGAGGCTAATTTGAAATTCAAATCTTGATAGTAAATGGGGACTGTGGAACCCTGGGGAAGAATGCCTCACACCGTGCCAAGTGTTATAGACAAGCGATTTGTTAAATTCCTTTGGAAAAGAGGATGCTTTGACCAGCCATATGAGGGTAAAACAACGTGTAGCTTTGTGATCAAGTAATTGTAGTTTACCAACCAAGGATTGCCATACATTGATACACCAGGGCCTTGTTTTGCTTTTGATATTACCAGCGCATATACGGCACATGCACTTGAAGTTACGGGGTACTTAATGTACATCTATCTAGACCTGCTGATGGTTATTGGATAAATAAATGAAAACTTGTGCTGTTTGTCAAGGATTTTGTGCTAACAGAGCCTCCTTCTATTTGTTCTGTTTCAGAGAGACCATTTAGCAGTAGTGAACCTACAGCAAAACACACTTAATCTCAGCCAAAAGGTTGCTTAAATTCAGTGACTTAAGAATAGAAGTCTCCATGCTCCTTCAACTGTTGGCCCTTTCTGCCATAATATGTACTATGTTTGTGCTGTTAAGTGGAACTATGAAATTTGGTCCTTTTTATCTTCATGTGAATGCAAAATGCAAAGCAAACTTCAGATGTCATGAGGCATTTGAAGTAAAATTTGTTTGAGTTTTAAATAATTACATGTATTCCGATAAATTTCACAAATTTGTCATGCAAAAAATTACATTTTGCCGTTGGCTGCAACTCTTGGAGCATTTAGGATCAGTGACATATCGTACTATTATTTTCATGTGAATGTCTCCCTTTTTATTTACGGATGAATTAAATTGCCTAGTGATAACTAGCGGAGTGACCATGCCCCAGAGTCGACTTGCATGGAATGGTCCAAACCATCCTACATTTGGGCAATGTTGATGGAACTAGTCTATAGTTAATTAAGTACAGTCCTTACATGAAGTTGCCCAGAATTTATGGATCTTGGGTTTAAAGTTGTCCGTCTTTTGCTTTTTCATTTTCAGCTACCACCAAAGAAGCTTGGGGGATCAAATGAAGATGCTCTTCTTATCTACTCATACAAACCTCAGGAGAACAACAACAAAACCGCAAATGATGTCATTGACAAGTAGTGTGATCATGGAACCTTCTGGCATCCCCCCGGTCTCTTGTGTGTCTACATGATGATCATTAGCCCCAACCATCCGGGATCCATGGCTGTTAGAGCTAAACCACTATTACACACCTAGGGCTCCATTCCCACAAAAAGGATAAGTATACAGGATTTGTATTTGGTTTTCTGTACAGCACAAGACTTTGTAGGATTTAGCAAGGCATCCAGCCTCCCCTCCCCCAAATCCAGTTGCCAGTCAGTTGCCCCAATCTACCAACATCTACTGTAAAACACTGGGCAGATTCTGTTGGATTCAGTTTATTATTGCAGAAGCCTGAGCACCTTCAATTTCGCCATGGGACTCTACTGGTTTCCAAAGTTTGCACAATTTGTTGTTGGGAATAATTTGTCGGGGTGCTCAGGTAAAAATGGGAAAAAAGGGATAAATACAGTCATTTGACTGCATCTCTAGATCTTAAAGAGGGACTTATTTTATAATGAGAGCAAATAAACAAACATAAAACAATAAGATCTTACAACCAATTTCGAACTGAACAGGTGGTACAGAACCAAACCCTAAAACAGAATACATTTTTAAAGTGCTGCAATAATAATCCAGAGTAAACTCTGTTTATACCAACAAAGTTACTGGGATTTTAAAATATGAAGAAATCAATTCACAAAAATGATTTCCAAATGGAATTGAAAGTTCAGAAGTTAATCCCCTGATGTCAATAATGTGAATTGTATCTTTTTACAATCTACAATTGTATGTAGTGTTTCACACTGAAGAATTATAAATTTGTACTGCACCTCTGGAAGATTTGAAATGTTCCTACACTGCCATCCTTATGCATGTAGTTGATACAGTAATTATAGTTTCGTAAAGAGTGTATAGGAATAAGCAGATGAAAAATGTACACTTAATCCAGTGTGTTTAAGGACTTTTAGATAAATGGGTTTTGAGTTTCCCAAGTTGGAGCAGATTGTGCGCCCCTGTTGGGATGCGAGACCAAAAAAGCTCAATATCATGCACTGTATCAATCAGCACTTGTTGAATGCACTGTGTATGTACTTGTATACATTTATATCACAAGAATTGCCTAGGGTAAGATGTTTGGAATTTCACCATTATCCATGGAATGTTAGAATGGCAGTTATTCCTCATAAAGCCAGACTATCTTTACAGCTGTAAAAACAACAGAGAGCCATTTCAACAATTGTGGATTCTGTGGCCGAAAAGTTTTGAGCTGCATGAAAATGTGTACATTTTGCACTGGTTTGTAATTGTGCTCGGCGCATGTGAAATGTTATCCTTCAGCTAATGTGTACGTGCGTGTCTTAAACAATTTATCATCGTCAAATTTGCTTTTATGGAAGATTCAGAATTTGTGACCCAACATTCCAAAATCAGGCTGAAGTAGGTACAACAGATGTTTGACTGTGATGCTCCTCTGCCCTGCTGTGACTTTTTCATGCTTCAAGGTGATCTGTGGTCAAAATTGGTCTGCAGGGAGCTTTGGTAGTTGTTGGCAGTGAAGGTTGTGTAATCTGTAGTTTAAGTGTACATACATTCCTAGCATTTTCCTAGATAATGTTTTACAAATCTTCAGCCTAGTTTTTGAATGGAAGGTCACACTGTTAGGTCTTTGGATGACTACATTCTGGATATCTTTATGCCTGCACAAGAAGTAGTTAGTGCTTTCATTATATGTACAGACACAAAAAGTAGTTGGACGTTAACCGCTTTTGATCTGCCATGTGTTTGTACACATGTATTTAGTGAGAAGACCTCCTGCCCGGAGGATGTCATGTTACTTGACTTAAAGAATACACATTAGCACAATTGTCTGGTAAGTGTTAGAATATGATCATTTGCCCTAAGGATAGCTGGCTTTTTGTTCATATTTTTTTGGACAGTTTGACCGAGTGCACCTGCTTGTTAAATAATATGGTTAATGGTCAGGGAATACCATAAATCTACCTTTTGTGCCTCTGCACGTGCAAAACACCTATTTGCATAATTTCATGTTGCCCTTTTGAGCGAGGGGTTTATTGTACTCCTACCAGCCAGATGGCCTCTGGTCTTCCTCATTCTAGAAACTGTTGTTGCAGAGAGTCAGGTGTAATAAAACTGCTTCTAGTGTGGGTGCACATGTAGGTGAACATACCCGCTAGCCCAATCAGGACAGGATGCCAAGTCACGTTACATGTAGGTTTGCAGCATGATGTCCTATGCCAATGCTTGTCCTGATACGATGTTCAGTGGTCAGTTGTGGGTAATGTTTCCAGAAAGTGAACCATGCAGAGTGAAGGGGTTTTTATAGGATGTCTTTCCATTTGACTCAATTTTGTTTTGGAGTAGTGGAGATTTACAGGCGTGGTAAAATCACACCTGTAGACTTGCTGCAAAAGGATAGTTAAAACAAAAAGAGAGGAAAAGATCATATCACTCAGTCTTGCAAAATTACAAATTGTGTTCAAACAAATTAAAAAAGCAAAAATGCTCTTGTAACTCTTGTTTGGTGTGTAAACTTGAAAACTAGGAAACGAACAAGCATCACACCGCACCAGATGCACAGTCCATGTTGCCCGAGTTACCGTATAAAGAGGTGCATTTCATCTCCCCTACTGAACGAAAACTTTCCCAAGGATTTCTCGTTTGATGCCCTGGCCTGTCCACATCAGAGAAGCAACTGCTCAAGCATGAATGCTCTAGCCCTCCTTCCTGTACTATCGCATGCGGAGTATATCTCCATTGTTCCGTGCCTGTTTGGATATTGTAAACTATTTAGAGTGTGAAGCATTGCCTAGCAAATCACAGTGATGTAGATGATAAATAGATCCTTATGAGATGTAATAATGCATAAAAAGCTTTTTATTCATTCATGTTAAACTGTGCTTGGTTGAAATTTATTTTAACTTGTGTGACTCTTTGATACTAGATATTTTTTAGCACCTTCAGTTATGACTATCTGAATTAAACCTTGAAATTCATTATACTAGTTAGCACTTTGTTTATAAAGAAAAAAAGTACCTTGAATAAAGGGTCATCTTGTCATGAATATGCAATAATAACACATTACATGGTGTGTAATGTTCACAATTTAATATGCCCACCACTAATGCCAGAGTTTCTTCATTTAATTAGTTGATTTTCAGTCCAAGCAGTGAAAATGGATGATTTGCCCCCAAATAAGCCATTAGCAAGTTAAATTTGAATCAAATCTGGTACACAGAGTTGTCTGATTACATATAAATGTAACAATTTGAACTCCCCAGACTGAAGACACTGTTGCTATACCTTGTGATTCGGGGCAAGCTTTTGCAGAACGACCACCATCTCTGGAATGGACTAGTTCCTTTGTGCCCTTCTTATCCATTGAGAACAGTGTATTGTTGCAAAGTGTCTCTTATGTAACCAAGCAAAAGCTTACCCCTGAATCACGTTGTATAGCAACAGTGTTTTTAGTTTGGAGATTCAAATTGTTACGTTCACATGAATTTAAAGATCTCAGTGTACCAGATTTTGTTCAAATGTAACTTGCAAAAGGCTTATTGACTCACATGTATTTCCATGTGTATGTATTTGAAAATGTATGTAAAATAGGTTGAGAATTTACAATATTTCTACGTGAACAGTAGTTTACATTGTAGGTTACCAATCATGTTCAAAATCATCAGTGAACAAAGTTGGAAATGGTTCTCTGGCACCTTTAATGTTGGCCGTGAATAGCTGTTAAAAATGCAGATGTAGGAAACAATGGCATTTATTGTTACAGTACTTGAAAAGAAATAACCCCCAAACTGTTGTCTTAAAATACTAATATGCAAAGCATGGTATCTTGTGTGAGCTTCCTTATATTTTTTTGAAATTCTATATGTTATATGCATTCCTTCTTTACTGGTATGTGCTTTTTGAAATATTTATTATAACTTTTCTGGTATAGCTTGGCTAATTATACGTTCGGTGTGTGGGCTTTCGTAATTGTTTTAACAAATTTATTTATAATTTGCTCGGGAAAGATGATGCGAGACCATCTTGATGAAGTGAATTATTTGGCGTACTTTTACTTCTAATACCAGCACATTTTGACGCCTGATAAGAGTTGATGAGTGGTGTTGTCCACTTCTCACCCAAATCAGGAGAATTGAAAGCAGAAATCAGATTTTACAGTTACTCAAGAAAGGAAAAAAGATGAACAAACCAAAGCTGGAAATGTAGAGCTCAAGTCTTGCATTTCTGTCATTCCTTGCCCCAGTGGAGGTGTAACCTTTGACTCCACCATAAAAGGCCAGGTCATACTTCAGGCGATTGCCAAGTGAATTTGACGTCATAGAACATTTACAGCAAAATTCAGTCAGGTTAAAATGTGTTCAACATTCCCAAATTCGCAGCAAGAATATTTGATCAGACTTGACATCTCTGCATTGCAGTACGAACCCACCTGAATAGGTAATTCATTATGGTCGTACACTTAAACATTGACTTGCCAATCATGTCAAGATGCACAGAAATAAGTATGCTTTCCCTTGTCAATAATAATCCTTATAATGTTCAGCTTACCCAGGTATTGTTGATTAATTTTAAGAAAAAAGACCCAAGTTCTTCATTTTCAGTCATTTACCTTGATAGTTTTTGCCCACTGCATCCAAGATTCTCACAAATAAGCATTCCATTTCTTTACATCCAAAGAATATGCATAAAGACCCATTTTGTGTTTTAGGTTTATAAATTGCAGTTAAGAATACTGTGGTATCTTTTGTGTTTTTTTGACTGAACTTTCGCTTATGAAAATCCAAATAAAATGTATGCATCAATACCTTGTGGTTGTTTTTTCTTGTTTTTGTTTCCTTGAATGTTGGTTCTTTGGCTGACAAATACCAATACGTGTATTAAATACAGCAACGATTGTAATTGTGTAGTTCTCACACAAGCAGATTTGTGGGGCTTGCATGCCAGACATATCATAGTGCTTTAACCATACATACCTAGTGTGGACTTGTGAACAAAAGATGTTCACCTGATGCAGGAAAGGAATAACGATTTAAATTATACAAAAATGAAACTACTCATTTGCGGTAGCCACAGAGGTGAAAGACAAGCTTTAACCATGCTTCAACTGAGCTAAGTACATGTACATACCATTTTGAACACTGTCTGCATGGAGGAAGGACATAAGTTAGAGCACCTGTACGGTACATCCATGAACCACTTCCAATATTCTGGGTGCAGTTTGGGCCAAGAAATGGTGTGATTGTGTCAGTATGGCCTAGGATCATCTCTGTAGATTCAGGGGCACCCATCTGGGGGCAAAGCAGACAAAAATGTGACTGAAAATTTATCAGAAGAGCCCCAGGAAGCTGAGGGATGTCATTTGAAAAATGGTCGCTGATAAGACTTGGGAACATTTACTTTTGGGGGGGTGAGTTTGTTTTGGGCTGAAAATTAAAAAATTCAACCTACTAAAAATTGAAAATCAAATGAAATTTGGACCAAACAACACATTGTTTTTTGTTTGAGAGGCCTCAGGGACTTCATCTGCCTGCCATGGGGCTCCAAAGTTGGTTGATTTTACACTATTTTCAATAGAGCTTGAATTGGTTCAGTGCACCCAGTTCTGTGCGACCGGTCCCCTGCGTAACGAATGCCACGCCCACATACTCCATCGTTAATTTTGCGCAGAAGAGGGCGCTTCAGACATTATAACAAGTGTTTTGCATAACATGGTCAACATCATGTTCGTTCGATCGCACGTGCATAGCATAGTACGGACATCTACCCGCGACGGTCATGCTGCAGTGCATAGATATGTGCTTGGACTTTGGATTCGTCCGTTGTAGTTCATGCATTGCTTGGTGGGCCACGCAACACGTACGCAAGAGACCATGAGAAGGTAATAGTACAAGGTGTCTGTTGTGGATTTTTATGATAGTTGTGGCACAGTCATGACAGCAGAACTATCAAAATTGCCTGTTTTAAACATTTGGACATGGTTGCCCGACAATGTCCAAATGTTAAAAAAGGCGATTTGTGTGGTCCAAGTTACTCGGACTGTCATTGGTCAGACTTCTCATGGGACATATATATGGTGGGAGGAGGGCATGCACAATTATGAAATATGAGATTTTCAGTGTTAATAATAATGAGCTAGGCTAATAGTTATAAACCTGTTGAGATTTTAAGATGTTAACATGAGATTTGAAGTTAGTTCCTCTTTCGACGTTCGACATTCAGTGTTGAGCAAGTAACCATTTGACATCTGAACATTGAATAAGTAACTGTTTGACATTCAGGATGCACATCCTTAAAAGTGATGGAGTGAAAGGGAAAACAACGCACACCCCGCCATCATGCACATCCATTCACATGTACCTAGTTTACAGTTTATGTGCCATTTCACAATGTACATGTATACACAAACAACTCTCAAACAGATTGAACCGAGGGCAACAAGTTTTTTTGGGTCAAACAAGCTCTGAAATGTTGGCAACGGTTTTTTAGGGCAGTGTAATTATTTGAGGAAAAAACGGTAAATTTTTTATACTTGGTGCTTTCATCGAAACTATTTCAAATACATCAATCCCACGCCCCAACTCTAAACGTCTGTTTTTCCAAAGTGCTTCTGTACACTTCAGTGACCCCGTTGCCTCCATTTCAACCAGGGCAAAGGCTACCCCCAGAACTGTGGGGTCCCACGTCCGGGGCGGACGTGGGACCCCACAGTTCAGGGGGTGGGCAAAGGCAGTTTTCAACAGTTGAAACGGCTTTGATGAAAGTCGTGTCGGTGGAGTTCTTCGCTTGCAAACCAGAGTGGGAAAGTGAATGCATCAAACCATACTTTTCTCAAATCAGTATTAAATACCAAACCCCACGCCCTGCCTGCAGATTACATTGAATCTGATGTCATTGTTCTCAATCAGCGATGACTCCTGGCAACCCGGGGCATGGTGTTTTTCAGGGTTAAACAAGCCCTAAAATGTAGTTGGCAGAGTGTTTTTTAATCCCTTTTGCAGGCCATCTCTTTTACGGATATGTATTCTGAATTAAGAAGGATCTGAAAACTCCTCTCTTCAATGAGGTATTTAATTAATTTCATTGCACTAGCGCCTTGAGCACCTTGGTGGATCTGTGCTCTCTATAAATCGCCATTATTGTTATTATTAATGTCAAACAGTTGATTATTCAACGTTAAACGACTGTAAAGTCACAGATGTTACATTGCTTCTTCCCGTGTCCTCCAGTGGTTTGTGCCTGATATGGCTGCCCCTAGAACTGTGGGGTTTGTCGTCCGCCGTGCTCCCACAGGAGAGTGGTGGACGATGAACCCCACAGTTCTGGGGATATGATACGGCAGCATCAGGTTAGCATAATCCCCTGGAAACTTAGACGGTTTCAGGAATGTTAAAATGCTATGAACCCAATGTGCAGGGATAATGATAATACATGTACAGTGTACATGAGCGCCTTTAAATGACAGCTAATGTTAGATAA